CAAACCACAAAACATAAGTTTAACCTAGAAGTCCTAAAAGAAAAAGGAAATGAAGAAATGTGCATTGACACTGACTTGTAATGAAGAGCTGAAACAATTATTCAGAAAGAGGATATAAGAAGATGTATAAAGACTGGTTTTAGTTCAGTTGTTCAAGGTGTCACATTAAAGGCAGAAAAACAAATTGAATGAATTAATTTTGCTCTGATTGTTTCACATCACAAAAACAGTGTTTACATTGTTGAGAACCAGAGCAGCAGTAATTCAGGAAGAAAAAATACTAAATATTAAATACTAAAAATACATTAAAGCTCTCAAAGTCAGTGTTTATTGTTGTTTTTGTTGCTATTTTTGTTGTTTTTTTTTTCTTTACAAAAACTTAATTTATTTTTTAGATTTTCATGCATCATTTTAGACTGTTAATAAAAAATGTTCTGGAAAATAATTTGGATATTTTTAACTCCTCATATCTTTACATTTTCAAACAAATCTCAAAATTTAAAAAAATAGAATTAATTTGAGTCTTACAATTAACACTTACAACTGGCCTCTTCATACTTTAACTGAAACTTGAGGCCAATTTTTTTTCCAATATTGGATCCAAATTGGCTCTTTAAATAGAAATGTGATCAGTTTGACAGCACTTATAGATCTTACTGTACATGGTTCCTTAAAGCTACTGCTGGTTCTGATGTCACTCTTTGCAGTTGATGCGTTTTTGCACATGTCTGCGTGCTTCTGCTGCAGCAGATGTCTCTAGGTCTCTGAAAGTGACTGAGGTGTTTCCTGCAGAAGAATTTCACCTCTGAACCCCAAAGAACCACTCTGCCCATTCATCATGAGGAATCAGGAACACACACTCATTCAAACATACAGTCAGGAGAAAAGAGACCAGTGGGAACATGTGGGAATGAATACACTTCATTTAGGTTTTCCACGATGATTCATGAGATCGTGATGCTAATCAGTCTCCTAGAGCCTGAACCTTTGACCCCTGGAGCTGGAAGCAGCACATTTGGTTCTTGTTCTGAGTGATTATGTCTGAACAGTCTTTCTTCCTTCACAGTTCTCCACATCCTCAAATCTTCCTCGCCACCCCCTAAAACTTTCCTCAGTTATTCCAAAAATGTTGCTGTATGTGACATGTGTCTTTCACTACGTGAATTATATCCTTCTAATCGGAAACTATGCTAAGAAATCTCACTTTTCCTTTTCTTAGTTGTCTGGTTGCCTTCCCAGATCAAAATTTGTTTCGTTATTATTATTACTCAACGTATATCCTCAGCACACAGCTGGGGTTCTGGTGATTGTTGTTTTCCTCCTCTAAATTAGAGATGCCAAGACGACTGAATGTAGACAACAGGTTTCACACCAAAGGAACAAACACTCAAATACTAATATTCAGTACAATCAAATACTAAGGTACTAATACTAATCAGCAGGAATCTGTAGACCACAAGAACCTGCAAACTGTGGCTGATAATTCACCAAGTGAATATTTACATCTATTTATAATTACAGTCATTACTTAAATACCAAACCACCAAAAATACTCAAATTCTCACCAATGGATGTCCACACTAATGGTTCATATCTGACATCAGACACGGCTGATGTCACTGAGGAAGAGTGATCGCTTCAGGAGGAGGAAACTTGAAGGCTCTTTGTGTGTTTGAAGAAATCTGGTGTCTGGACTGCATTTGGCCATATTCTGTTTTTTTTTTTCTTTCTTTTTTGTGAAATATACCTTGACATAATAACAAGTGAGTTCTAGGGGGGGTTTTCGTGAGAGGTGTTAGAACCACCGCTGTGTAGATTATATATGCTCTGTTGGTAAGAGACTGGAGGGATAAGACAGATGAGGGAGACACAGAGAGTGTGTGAACTTCATGTTAATCACATGAAGCGATGAGAGTGTTGAAAGATTATTGTGAAAGAGCTGGCCCGCTTTTTTTTTTTTTTTTGAAAAGTCAGAGTGTGAAAAATACCTGACCCCGCTACTTAAAACTAATGGACTCATCCATTAAAGCCTTGTGAAAACACAGCCTAAGTGGAGGAGCATTAACTTCAGAGTCGGTTGGAATGCATGCGTGTGTGTTTGAGCAGCAAGCGATTGTCAAAGTGATAGATGAGTGTTTGTGTATTGTGTGTGTACAGTCATGAGTGAAGGTCTGTGTGCGGATGGGTAAGGCTGTGTGTCTTTGGAGTTCAGTGTGTGGCAAAAAGATGAATTAGCCACAAGTTATTCAGTTATTTCCTGTTTTAATAAATCAGGGAGCAGGTGTCCTTCGCAGGCCCACTGTGGAGCTACTGCACTGCATACAAACACTCACAGCGACATCAATTGCTGTGGACAGCTGGAAGAAAACTCTTTCAGTTCACATGTTACTTACTTAAACATTTGAGCCACAATTTATTACTTGAGCAACATGGAATGTCATAAAAAAAAAGTTGAAAACCAGCCAAAGTAGAAAAGAAGCATAAAGAGTAAAAAAATTGAAAATTAAATGTGATTGGCAATAAAAGTCATGGAGACAATTGATCCTTTTTATTTTGTCTTTAGAGTACTTAGCATACCTATAAAAGGAATTATGTAAGAATAAACTGATCATTTTTATTTGTGTTCTTCATGACCTTTATTTCTTTCTGACCCTGGATGTTCTCCAGGACTCCTCTGTTCCTCACCCCTCCTGGGTTTGTGCAACCTTTGCTGCAGATGTGGGAGTTATTAGTTAAACCACAACAGTTGTACGATATGGAGAGGAGCAACTGCAGGCCTAAAATCCCATAGATTTTACAGCTTAATTAAATGTTATAATAAGTGACTGTGGTAATAAGGAGAAGAACCACAAAACAAATGCCAGAACCCGAACTGTAGACATGAGAGTTTGCTTTGGAACAGATCTGGGCTTAATGAGAAGCACACTCTAGTTGGGATTTTGTTTTTCAGTCTCCAGATTAATTATATATAATTGCAGGTCATGCTTCTCTGTGGAGATGGATTTCTGGTGCAGAATGTAGTTTTATGTGTGAGTTGGACTGTGATGGTCAAACAATCTGTGCTTACTTAAAGCAGAGCAACATCTGTGGCCTTCGATGACCTTTGGTTGATGTGATCCAGCCTTGTTGGCTTGTGTTTTACCACTATGCTATTTGGGAAAATAGCTCTTGTCTAACTATTTTAAAATCTATGAACTAAACATTGGCATGGAAAATTTTGCATAAATCCTACCGTTATTTCTTTTTTGTCAAAAACAGAATACACCAAAGGTTACAGAAAGATTAGCATGAAACTTTTACCAGAGGTGGGACCCGACCCAACGCATGTCTGGAGGTTGGCCCAGATCCTGAGTTCAGATAATTTTATTAACTTATGTATTTATTTTTCTACTGCCTTCGTTATCCATCGTTTTTAACCTTAAACAAAAACCAAATTGAATAAAATCTGGAGCTTTTTCCAAAATAAAACTTGAGCAGAGGAAAGTTCTAATAGATAAGAGATTCTAAATGCCTTCTTGTGGAGCTTTATGAACGGTTTCTACTTTAGTAGTTTGCTTTAAGATAGGTTCAGTGCATTGCTGCTTTGTGTATTACTTAAACAAAATGTTCTGTGTTTGAATCAAAAATCATTTAGGACCAACCATAGAAGCCTCATTCAGCCAATGATGATGAATAAATAAACAACTGAAGAATATATTTTACCCTAAAGTCAGTTACACATAGAAAGTCGGGCACAAAAATACTAATAAATAAGGAGAAGAGTGCTCCTCTACTGTCTTGCCCCATGACCCTTCTCATTTTTTGAAAGTGATCCCTCAATCTGAGACAATAATCAAAACACTAAAATGTTGAGCCGTCAGGCTGGCATTAAGCACACCAAAGATAAAACATATATCCAAGATGTGGAGTTGTTTTTTTTTTTTTTGTTTGTTTGTTTGTTTGTTTTTTTTAGGTTTATTCTGTCCCAAAGAGATTAATAGAGAAATCTTAAGAGGTCACATAGTTAATCTAAAATATAAGCACAGCTTGTTATTTTCATTAGTTTATTTCAAAGCTGGATACTTTGGACAAAACATAAAATTATCTTGAAAATATATGATTTTAAAACGATCAAACAGTGAATTGGTGCAGTAAATATTTCTACATGTTTGCAGTATCTGCTGCCCTCTCCTGGATGAAAGAGGAAACATTTGAAAACGGTAATTTTACTCTGTGTTTAATGTTTCTCCCGGTGCCTAAGCTGAAAGCTGAAAGGAAGCACCAGAATGCTCTTTCACAAAACAGAGGATTAAACCAAAACACCCTCAGTCTGGAGTGGAGACCAGCCCTCATGTTGATTAGTGAGTGCTACCATAATAACCACTGCACCACTCTCATGCACCACTCATTTAAAGTATTATATATAGTATGTTGAATATGTATGCTCCAGAATTAACATAAAATTGCCTGACAGACCCACTTCTAGCAACTCTGACAATCTATACTGCTAAAAACAGTCTGCCTTTTCATTCTGTTCCTATGTGTGTTTTACTGCCTGCACTTACAACCTAGAAGGAAATATGTGTATGAGAATTACTTAGAATTTAATTCGGCATTAGGAATGTCTGCGTATGTGAAAGTACAAGTGACAGATTTAACATTTAAAAATAGCACTGTCCACAGCAATGCTCATTTGATGCAGCCACTATGTATCTGAAGTGTTCTGACCAAATGTGTCACAATTAGTCAAGCGAGTGAGCCAGGGACTTAAAGGGCAAAGCAGTGGGTTGAAGAAAGCTGGCCCTGTTTTGGAACTACTATGGAGATTATGGTACAAGAATATGAAAATAATAAATATATTATATAAGAAAATCAAGAGTATAACATACAACCTTGAGCAAATTCTTCAAGAGAGCGCATACTACAGAGCTTCTTATTTAAGTAAAATCGTGTGATAAGATGGAGAACACTTTTTGTTCTACATAAGCTCCTCCCTTGCCGCTGGCGAAGGTTTTCCAACCGCCTAATGCGACGTTGAACAGAAAGGAGCAGACCCCACATACACAGACCCGGAAGCACAGGCTAACTGTAAACACAGCTGTGAGGCTGTTTTGCCTTCTGAAAGATGGTGTACGTGTCCAACGGTGAGTGGATTGTACTTTCTTCACCACTCTTTTGTTAAAATAGAAAGATATGTGCAGCTTTGTATTGAAATCTAAATGTATGTAGACATTTTGAAGGTTACGTAGTGGTTTGTTTTGGGACCATTAAGCTACTATTAGCTGTTTAGTTCGTTAGCTTAGCCAGGCTGAATTAGCTTAGCAGCTGTCAACTGACAATATGTTTGTATATTTTACATCACCGTCGCATAACGTACCTCGAAATAACACAAATTAAAAGACGTGCTGTGATTTTGAGTCTGTCGTACTCCAAGTGGATTTTATGTAGAAAACACTTTAAGAGAAATCGAGTTAATGAGCAGATAAGAGAGAACTGAACATTTTCTGTTTTCGATTAGCAGTAATATTAAACTGTTTTTGTAACCTAATGTTTCATACTTCCCTCTTTGTGTCACATTCAGGCCAGGTCCTGGACAGCAGGTCTCAGTCCCCATGGAGCCTGTCGTTCCTGACTGACATGTTCTGGGGGGCTGTGGAGTTCATCAGCCTCTTGTGAGTTTTGATATTATGCAGTCGTTACCATAGAGGGATATTCAGCAGGCGTTTATTGCTGTTGATTTGTACGATTATTGCTTACAGCTAATAAAACCTAAGATTCTGTTTCTCAGAAAAATGTAACATTTTGAAAACACCAAATGCTATGTATCTTGAAACGGCAGGGACAAGCAGCAAAAGGTCATTTCCAAAGTTTTTTGAGTGCTGTATTCAGGGATATACAAAGAAAATTTGGTGGAAGGAAAAAAAGTGTCATTACCAGAACTTTTTTTCTGCACTTGGCATTTCTGTTAGCAATAATTTTTTTTATTTGATTGTATGTCCAGAACCCATTTTCACTAGTGTTTTTTTTTTCTTTAGATGCGAGTCATAGCTATGAAAGTGCTTGAAAGGCATCATTATGCGTTTATTGCAGGCAAATACTTTTTGAGTTTAATCTGGTCTGTTATGTACATAAATTAACTTTTTATATTTTGTGGGGAAGCCCCTGTAAAAGTAAAGATGAAATCTAGCCAACTTGGTGCTGTGTTGTCCTAATGAGGCATATACAGATAACAAAATCAAAATCATTCTCACACAAGTATTGTGTTATAAGCAACTCTCATTATTTCATATAGTCTGTTCTGACCTTTTGTTTTCTACCAGTTTTAGGACAATACTTCACCCTGACTTGTCAAGGAATGGAAACGTGGCTTCATCACGCTTCAGCGATGGCAGAGGGTAAGTCCCAGTTGTACTGTCATCTCACCACTGAGGCATGAAAACTGAGAAAAGCTGTGCCACAAGGGAGGGGATTGCAAACATTAAGCCAGTTATTACTTTTTCATTTCAAATGCTTTGAAACCTCATTAATTTACTATATACATCCAGAGATTGTGTTGATCACTTTTACACCCATGGATTTTTGATCTCTGTGGTGACATGTACTTGATTCTGCAGACCTCCAGGTCCTCCTGGTGGCAGAAGGCGGATGGGTCGAATAACTCACGGAGCGGGTCCCAACCCTCCACCAATGGGTGGAGGAGGATGAGGAAGGTGAGCAATAGTTTTTCCTTAATAAAACTCAAGACAACTTATGGTTAATTTGTACATTAATTCATGGAGTTTGTTGCTTTCTTTGCTTATTCATTAAGTTCTGGTAGCCACTGCAGAAATAAGTTGCTTTTAGCCTGATGGAGTTTAATGTCCATCTCCAAAAAAACCTACGTGACATTTTAAGGAATATAAATAACGTCGTTCCTGTACATTTCTTCACTTTAGGTAAACGCCTGCACATACAGTGTGGGCGTGGGGCCAAGCACAGTGTCTGACCACTGAGAGCACGCAGACGGAAACGGCACCGTGCTGAAGTCCTTCTTCATCAGCTGCCACTGCTGCTAGCAGTTTCTTGACGCCTTTCTGGGAATACCTACACATAGGAGCCGGATTGGTCGATTCAGCAGCTGTCTGCATCCCTCCTCCCTGTTTATGTTTTTCCTCTGCTTCTGTCCTTCCAGGTCACATCAATGTCTTACTCATTTAGGTTCTGCTCATCCTCTGGAATCATCATCATTTAGTTTCCTTCTTTAATTTTGTGTTTAAATAAATGACCTATGCTGAGACAAACACACACAAATTGAAAACTGTATGAAGCAGGGACGATTGTTTTCTATGTTTTGGTTAAGATTTTACAGTGTAGTTATTTTGTGAGTGGAAAAATAAATAAATTAAATAAAAACAGTTACGTGTTGTCATGTGGACACCAAGAGTTAAAACATTTTTGCCCAGATGAGGTGAATTAAGAAATGATTTTCTTCCAAATGCAGTTATTATTTTTCTTCAAATGAGACGAGTTTATTTACACTTCATGCATGAAAATGTGAAAACAGGAATCTTTACAGAACAATTAAAATTCTATAGAAGACATCTTATAAACAGAAAACTATAAAATGCATCCTGGGTTACAAACGCCAATCAGAACAACTATACATACCAAATGATATGCAATTTGTCCCTTTCCTTGTCTGCCCTCTGATGTATAAGTGGTGCGTTTTAGCTTCAGGACCTCAGTTGGGTTTCACCAGACGAATGCAGCTCTTTCTCGGAGCATTCTGACACCGAAGCGCTGCCACTCTCTCTGGTGAATCCACATCTCCTGTGTGGTGTCCAGGCACGCAAGCACTGCTCCGCCCTTCCATGAAATCAGCCTGGGGTCCATGTCCTTCGACACAAACACACCAGAATATATAATAAGTCATGAAACATGTTGCATATTTCTGTTAGTAGGAGACGCAGCACTTTGTAAAGTTTGTAAAGCGTTAAGGAAAAACAAAAGTCAGTTTTTGTACCATTATCTATTAAAATTTTAAGCAGTAACTTAAAGTAGATGTGGAATTTGAATAAGTTTAGAATAATCTATAATTATGACTGAATTTATCAGTGAATCATGGTTTGATAAGCACTACAATGGAAATTTTAGCGTAAAATAAAAAAATACATGTGGAAGTTATTACTTTAGGTCGTGTGATGACTTCCACGTTATCGACCAGCCTTCTGAAGGATGGCGGCATCTTGTTGATGATGCGATGAAGCAGGAATTCCTGAGCTCCGTGAAACATGAGCCCCCCTCCCACCACCAGGATGGAGCTGTACATCTTCCGTTTGGTTTCATCCGACGCTTCAGACACAAAAATAAAAGCTCAAATTTCCTCTGGGATATACTTTTATATATTGTTTTTCAAGATGCTTTAAATGATTTCCCTACATCACTTATTTATGTTTTGTGATCTCGTCCTACTCCCTTATTACTCAATCTGTCTACTAAAACATGTCATGCGTTTTATTTCACTCCTCCCAGCACTTTCTTACCACAACAGTCGATGCTATGCAGGATAGCCTTGTCCAGGCCCAAAGCCTTGCTCTCGAACTGGCTAATGATGGCCGTCTTCCTGGACAGGTGAGCGGACAGCGGCTCTTCCGCCTCTCCTGGAGCCATCAGACACTCGCCCTGGCTTGGCCCCAGCTCCATTTCTCCAAGCATTCCTCCTCCTGCTGCACTCCCGCTCCCACAGCCTCTGGGCATGTCGGACATCTCCCCCATCCTCCCCTGGCAGCTCAGTTCACCATCCAAACCTCCGCCTGGCCTGGAAACGGCCTTACGCTCAGCTGCAGATTTAGAGGACTGTTTGGGAGGGAAAAAATAAAAATCATGCAATAAACAACACAAGAGAACCAGCAATTATTTATCTGAATGCATGTAATTTCACTGTGTGGTAATGTGAGTTACCTGGTCCCCTTTGCTCTGTGTGGAGAGCAGGTAGTGTTCATCATGGGGATCTTCTGAGTTGCCTTGGGAACGGTGCTGTAGTGATGTCATTTTCTGACCAACGATGCCGAATGTGCTTGGGTAGAACAGACCCATTGGCGCCTGCAGGGGACACAGACATGTTTTTTATGGCAAAATTACAGACTCATTCATCAACTTCTTATAACTGTTTTGAACCTGTACCTGTAATTTTTCATCTCCGAGTCGAATTTGGTATAAAAGAGCCGGGGCTTCTGGGAAACGTGTCTGAAATTCATGATCTTGTAACCCTGATATGTCCTGTTACAAAGAGACAAAGATTGCAGATAGTACCAATTTAAAAAGCAACCCTGGAAGAAGAAACTGTTTCCCTCAAATTTTTAATTACTCATAAATTCTCTTCTCAACTAACACAGACCTGATCCAGATGACAGAATGTCTCCTTTAGATGCTGCAAGAGCTGACAGTCCAGCCTGCTGGTCAGCTGGCAGTCTCTGTAGGGAAACCCTGCCCTCTGCAGGAGCCAGAAGAAAGTGCGGGTCACGTCTGAACCACCATAGGCCAAACAGAGCCTGCAGAATGGAGGAGCGAGCAAACACACACAAAATGCAAGAAATCAACTATTTTCTGTTGTTTATAAGTGTGTGTGATTTGCAGCACTTCCCCACCTTGAGTTTCGATGGGACACTCCATCCTCAACACAGCAGATGCTGGTCTTCTGATCGCCCACATCCACGACACAAGCGCTGCTCAACCCGCTGCCGAATGTAGCACACACTGACTCCTGGTGCACAATGATGGCTGCAAATTACACATATTTTCACTCCATAAGGCAGAAACCATGAAGCAATGAACAGTTTATTAACATGTGTCTATTTTGCCCCAGTTTTAAATTTAGAAAAACAACAGTTTTCCCTGTCTTCTTGCTTTGTATTTGTCGACCACCCCAAATTCCAACAATACAACAGAGTGTGTGATTGCAACGTGTCAATGTGAAAAGTATTAAGGAGTGTGAAGACATTTGCAACAGTAAATGCCCAATACCTGAAAAACCCATGTTATGTAGCAACATGTTGACAATTTCCTTTACATGCTGTCTGTTGTAGATGTCGGGGACCAACAGGATGCATCTGTAATACTACAAGTCATGAACAAATAAAAACACAAAATCAAATGTTGATGTAGCAAAAGGAAGTTTTTCATCCCATTTTTGAAGTTTTATTGAAGCTAAAGCTGGTTGCAGAATTACAGCAAAAATGGTGCACATTCCATCAATAGAAACCTTTCCTTATCAAATTTTCTTGTACTTCTTTCTAGTTTGAAAAGAATGCAAAGAAGAAAGGCATAAAAAGCTGAAACGAGACTTTTACCTTTAGCTCTTTTAGGGGAATCTCCAGATGCTTCTGAATGACGTAACTCCACAGCGTCTCGAGATCGGCCAGCACTGCGGTCAGAGACCCTCCAGAGCCAGAATGCACATTGAGCTGACCTCTGACCACAGGCCAGTGGAGGTTGTAACAGTCTGATGGATTCACATGCAGAGCCTGTAACAAGACATGATCAAGATGGGTGAACAATAAATGAACCACACAGAATTTATCAAACATTATACAGACATTGTATATAGTTTTTTTTGTGTTTTACCTCCTCTCCCACCAGATAATTGGGATGGTGGCTTGTGTTTGTCCACTTCACTCTTGAACTGCTGTCTAGAACTGCTGGACGGATCTGACAGTTATAAGCCCTGGCCTGAAAACACAAGCAGGAAGTTGAATCAAGTGACTGCCTCCACAAACACCACATAATAACACCAACCCGAGTTGCTACGGCATCAATAGCCATTTCAAAACTTCTACAATTTCCGCACCGGTTGTCCCTTTTGTAAACAAACCTGTTCAGCAGACACAGGAGTCCTTCTCACACCGTTGGACATCTTCTTGGACCAGATGGCCTGGTCCACCATTTTCAGTCCATTCTGCCTCTGCTCGCTGCTCTCTGCCTTCTGTAAGCCATGAAGACAAATCAATCATATCACAAACAGCCAGGTACGACGGTTGTGTGTTAGACTCAAACCCGTCCAACAGTGACTTACATTCAGACCCTCTCTCAGCAGCCAAGCATCTTCATACCTCGCCTGTCCACCCTGCTTATGCCGCCGCGCAATTACATGAGGGATAATGACAGGAAGGGTGTCTGTGGCTCGGCCAATGCGAAGCGTTCTTGATCCAGGGTGGATTACGATGACAAAATTGCTCTGTATTTGCTATGAGACACAAAGGTAATGCATTTTAATGTAAAATATAAACAATGAATGGTTGTGCACACAAAATCTTTATTAGCTCAGCATTAAATATGATTTTATTAGCCACTCATGAATAAAAAGATTATAAGTGTTCAGGGAATTTATTTTAAGTTTTACTTCCATCCATTATTTGTGGAGGGATTCACCCTGGACAGGTCGCCAATCTATCGCAGGGCAACACAGAAACAAACAACCAAGCGCGCGCACACTCACACCTAGGGAGAATTTTGAAAGACCAATTAACCTAGCAGTCATCCTTTTGGACTGTGGGAGGAAGCCAGAGTACCCGGAGAGAACCCATGCATGCAAAGGGAGAACATGCAAACTCCATGCAGAAAGACCCCGGGCCAAGAATTGAACCCAGGACCTTCTTGCTTTAAGGCAACAGTGCTACCAACTGCACCACTGTGCACAGTGGTGCTGTTTTAAGTTTTAAAAACACTATTAAGCTTTTAAAGGAAACATTAATTTATTTGGATGAAAGCTTTCTTCAGGACGTAGTTCTGAAGATATCTACATTTAAATCAGATGTCAAAACACAACTTCACATTTATTTTAATTTTATTTTATTCTTAAACTAAGCTTTTACACACAACCCAAAACCAGAAGAAAAAATAAATAAAGACAGCTATTGCATTATACCTTGTAAAAATAAATTGTTTTCAAAATGAAAAGTTAATAAATAAAAGGCTGAATACTTCCTGGGCAGGTTCAGGGATCGCTGCAGGAGCGATGGGTCTCTTCACTCCGCGCTGCTGCTCCTTCTCTTTCTCCTTGTCTCGCTCCTTTTCCTTCTCCTTCCCGTTGTCCTGCTCTTTCTCGGCCTGCGTCATGGTCACGTTTTACATTTCAGTCAAAACACATCAGGAAAAAGATAAATTGTAGTTTCACAAAGCAACTCAAAGTGTAACAACAAATTTCCAGTCTTGCTTCGGTCAGTGAAGGTTTTACTTCCGTGTTTTATCACGTGACCCTTCTTCGCGGGTAGTTTTAGGAGTCACAGAGTTGCATTATCGCCATCAACTGGTAGAAAGCGTTGATTGCGATGACAGTTCTGCAAAGTGATGCAAATACCACCGATTTTACACTGATTACCAATTTCTGGAGCCTTCCTGTAATTCTCTCAGCTTTAAATTTGGAAAGTAAAAATGAGACAGTCCATCGTGGTGAAGAGAGACCTGAGTCAAAAAGCGAAGCTCTCGATTTACCGGTTGATCTACGTTCCCACCCTCATTTATGGTCATGAGCTTTGGGTCATGACCGAAAGAACGAGATCTCGAATACAAGCGCCGAAATGGGTTTTCTCCGTGGCTGGGCTCTCTCTTAGAGATCGGGTGAGAAGCTCAGTCATCCGGGAAGAACTCAGAGCCGCTGCTCCTTCAAGTCGAGAGGAGCCAGCTGAGGTGGCTTGGGCATCTGGTCAGGATGCCTCCTGGACGCCTCCCTTAAGAGGCGTTCCGGGCTCTTCCCACCAGGAGGAGGCCCTCAGGAAGACCCAGGACACGCTAGAAGGACTATGTCTCTCTGCTTGCCACAGTTTGATGATCGACTTTGTCATCGTTTCGTCTGATTTGCGGCCATATGACTTGGACACTCGGTAAAGAGAGGTGCGGAGCTGTCCATCAACCACTGTCTGGTGGTGAGTTGGCTCCAGTGGTGGGGGAGAATGCCGGTCAGACCTGGCAGGCCCAAACACGTTGTGAGGGTCTACTGGGAACATCTGGCAGAATCCCCTGTGAGACGGAGCTTTAACTCCCACCTCCGGCAGAGCTTCGAACACATTCCGGAGGTGGTATGGGACATTGAGTCCGAGTGGACCATGTTTCGCGACTCCATTGTCGAGGCAGCTCACCAGAGTTGTGGCCACAAGGTTGTCGGTGCCTATCGCGGCGGCAACCCTCAAACCTGTTAGTGGACACCTTCGGAGAAGGATGCCGTGAGGCTGAAGAAGTTCTATCAGGCCTTTTTGGCCTTTGGGACTCTGGAAGCAGCTGATGGGTACTGGTGGGTGAAGTGGCATGCAGCTTGTGTGGTTACTGAGGAAAAACTCAGGTGTTGGAGGAGTTTGGAGAGGCCATAGAAAAAGACTGCCACATGGCTTTGAGGCAATTTTGGTCCACCATCCAGCATCTCAGGAGGGGGAAGCAGTGCAGCACCAACACTGTTTATAGTGGGAGGACCCGGACCCAGAGGGTGTGCTCCAATTATAGGGGGTCACACTCTTAAGCTTCTCTGGCAAGGTATATTCGGGGTTCCTGGAGAGGAGGGTCCAAAGTCATGCTGCCTTCCTGAATCGATCCTCAGATTCAAGAATAACAGTGTGCTTTTCGTCCTGGCCATGGAACACTGAACCAACTCTACACACTCAGCAGGCTCCTGGAGGATACATGGGAGTTTGCCCAACCGGTCCACATGTGTTTTGTGGACTTGGAGAAGGCGTTCAACCGTTTTCCTCGGGAGCTCTGTGGGGGGTTCTCCGGGAGTATGGGGAGTACGGGCCCATTGATACGGGCTGTCAGGTCCCCTGTATGACCGGTATCAAAGTCTAGTCTGCATTGCTGGAAATTAGTCAGGCTCGTTTCCGGTGAGAGTTGGACCCCGCCAGGGCTGCCCTTTGTCACCGATTCTGTTCATTTCTTTCATGGACAGAATTTCTAGGCGCAGCCGAGGTGTGGAGGGGATCCATTTTGGTGGCCTTAGGATTGTATCTCTGCTTTTTGCGGTTGACGTGGTCCTATTGGCTTCATCAGGACACGATCTGCATCCCAGCCGAGTGGGAAGCGGCTGGGATGAGGACCAGTGCCTCCAAAACTGAGCCGTTGGTCTTGAGGCAGAAAAGAGTAGAGTGCCTTCTCCGGTCTAGGAGGGTGTCCTGCCTCAAATGGAGGAGTTCAAGTATCTCAGGATCTTGTTCACGAATGAGGGAAGAAGGGAACGGGAGTTCGACAGGCGGATTGGCACAGCGTCTGCTGTGAAGCAGGCACTGTACCGGTCCATCGTGGTGAAGAGAGAGCTGAGTCAAAAAGCAAAGCTCTTGATTTACCGGCCAATCTACATTCCTACCCTCATCTATGGTCATGAGCTTTGGGTCATGACCGAAAGAACGAGATCTCAGATACAAGCAGCCGAAGGGTGTCTGGGCTCTCCCTTAGAAATAGGGTGAGAAGCTCAGTATTCTGGGAGGGACTCAGAGTACTCTGCTGCTCCTCTACATCTAGAGAAGCCAGTTGAGGAGACTCGGACATCTGGTCAGGATGCCTCCTGAACGCCTCCCTGATGATGTGTTCCCCGCATGTCCTACCGGGAGGAGGCCCTTGGGAAGACCCAGGACACGCTAGAAGGACTATGTCTCTCGGCTGGCCTGGGAATGCCTTGGGGTTCACTCGAAAGAGCTGGAAGAATTGGCTGGGGAGAGGGAAGTCTGGACCTCCCTTCTGAAGCAGCTACCCCCGCGACCCGACTCCAGATAAGCGGAAGATGGATGGATGGATGGATGGATGGATGGACGGACGGACGGACGGACAGATGGATTTTTCAACTGCATCCTTAAAACAATTTTTTAACAGAATACAAAATACAAAAGTCTATCCATCCATCCATTGTCTGCCGCTTATCCGGGGTCGGGTCGTGGGGGTAGCAGCTTCAGAAGGGAGGCCCAGACTTCCCTCTCACCAGTCACTTCTTCCAGCTCCTCCGGCGGAATCCCAAGGCGTTCCCAGGCCAGCTGAGAAACATAGTGGGGAATCAGAACCTGAAACTATCTATCAGTGATACAAATGGCCACTGGGAAGCTATAATAGTGGACATTGATAGAAATAAGAACATTTTGGTGTATGTATATAGATATAATAATAAAGCAATGAATTGTATATTTTTGCTAACCTCGAAGTGATAAAAAAAAACAATGGAAAATAAGATATTCCACAACAATCTGACCCACATGTCTAAAAACTGTCAAAGGAGGTTGGAACCCCCCACATCTGAAGACTGTTGAAGGAAATCTGAACCCCCTACGTCTGAAGACTGTTGAAGGGAATCTGAACCCCCTACATCTTCTGAACCCCCTACATCTTCTGAACCCCCTACGTCTGAAGACTGTTGAAGGGAATCTGAACCCCCTACATCTTCTGAACCCCCTACGTCTGAAGACTGTTGAAGGGAATCTGATCCCCCTATGTCACCCCCTACGTCTAATGACTGTTGAAGGGACTCTGATCCCCCTGAGTCTTCTGAACCCCCTACGTCTAATGACTGTTGAAGGGACTCTGAACCCTCTAAGTCCATAGACTGTCTGTGAGAAGCTGGGGATTCAATTGCGTCTTTTTCTTTATCCTCACTATTTTCTGTCTCCAGAGTCTCTTGGATTGGATGAACTTTAATGCTGCGACAGAAAAAATTACAGACAGATTTGGTGTTTTTCCAAGCAGTTGTCAGAGGGAAATGCACTTTTCTAGGATGTGAAAAGACTCTTTTGAAACAACATAGAATCTTGTAATCTGAAATTGGGTGGCCCATTTCCATGAGATAGAAAAGTCTATCCCTTACCACATCCTCATTTCCAGTTAGAAGTTGGAAGATGTCTTTGCTGAGTTTTTTGTCCATATTGCTGAAAATTGGAAACTCTACGTCTCTTAGTTCTTCCCTCACGATCCCAGAAAGCCTTTTGAAGACTGGTACAGTGTCTTTAACTTTGTATGGGGTGACAGATGCGTAACTTGCCCTACAAATCAGTTTCCACACAACTTCATACACCATTTTACGACGTTCCTCTTCAGTTCCATGTTTGATTACTTCTATGTTCCCTATCAATGATTTTCTCCTTTCGGCAGCAATAACTTGACTGTCGGACAGACAGTTTTCATTAGAATACAAGCTCTCAGTGTCAAACAAAGCATTTTTGAGCGTTGTTCTTACAGATGAGAAAAATCTATCCATTTTTGTAGGCTCAGGAAGAATGGGATTCTCCAGGTGATACTTGAATTCTTCTACTATCCTCGGATACGCAACTGGGTAGAAAAGTATTGTGAACAAATGCAACTCGCTAGCAATATGGAAAGAATCGCTGGCGATGCCTTGGAAAATCCTTTCGCTTAGCTTGTCTGACATTTCCATCACAAAGGACAGCTCGAGTTTCCCAGTTTCTCTTACAATTTGGCGAAGTAGCTGACAGTGGGCCTCCTCAAACGTTTCTCTAATAAGATGCCGAGTTGGTATGTCTGCAACCTTCTCAATCACCTTCCAAAGAATGTCACTGACAATTCTCTTCTTTGAATAATCAGGGCTCCACAGTCGTTTTTTACTGTAGCGTTTTTCAATTTTTTTACTGATCTGTTCGCAAGATTCAGCCAATTTTTCAATCCAGGTTAACTTAGTCATGTCTGTGTCTCTGACTTGAACTCCGATAATGGATTCTGTGTTGAAAGATTGCAAGCAGTTTGCAGCTGATCATAAGGTAAATTCTACTCTATTCTAAGAGTTTAGACCTGGTGATGTCACAGAGTCTGACTCACCAATGATTGATTAATTCCACTTAAAAAAAAAAAAGATTAATTCACTTCACATAGAAGCCTTGGTGCCTGCACCATGGCAACTGTTGCTAGTGGTAATGAGCATGCTCAGTAGCAAATAGTAAAGCCCAGTTCACATTTACACAATTTCAGAATAGACGGCCGATCGTTGGATGATTCTCAAAACGTGAGAGTCCACACACTCGCCGATTTAAAATCGTAGGTTTGACGGATTTGCTCAAAGAGTGTGAGGTTTCAGTCAAGGACATTCGAAGTCCAGATATGAAATCCCTTAAAATTCTGCACACCTGAATTTAGAGTAAACAAACATGTAACTTTAGTTTGTGGACTTCTTTTAACCCCCCAAAAAGCGTGACCAAACATCAAAGCTTTGGATTAAGAACTGGAGACATCATGAGCAAGTTTTTTCCCCCTCATAACAAATACTAGTTTTAATTTTTAATGTTTTTATAATTTTTGGTTGTGTTGATGTTGTAGAATATGCATATACTGGTTACTATTGGATTAACAAACACGAAATGAAAAACAGAGTATTAATGTTCGAGGTGGGAGCTTCGGAAAAAGAGTCTGCTCCGTCTTGAGTCCAACCGGAAGTTCCTCTGGTTTACAGTTTTAGCAAAATTATTTGATTTTCTATTTAAATAAATGCAACAAAGCTATTTCTTACTACTTTCTCATAGAATAATATGTCTGTGACTTTTTGTCTCGGCAATCATAGCCTGAAAAACATAATCAGTGCTAAAGAACAACATAAATAAATGCAATACACTTAAGTAGAGAGACCAATTTACCTGACAGTCGTGTTTTTTTGGACTGTGGGAGGAACCCGGAGAGAACCCACGCATGCACAGGGAGAACATTCTCTTAACAAACCTTAGAGGTCATTAAAACAAGCTAATTCTAAACTGAAATTACGTCACTGGGAACCTGTTTTTACTGGAATAGGAGTCTTCTAAATGCAATCGTTGCACCAGATTTTGTATAGAGGCATCAAAGCAAAGTTAAATACTGATACAGAACTCTCTTTTCAATGCTTTATTTGTAAAATGTTTGACAAACATGCAATTCCTCTTCTGCTCCAAAATTATGTATCACTTGGTGTTGCTCCATCACAAGTCCCAATAAAACACAGAGTCTAGATACGTAGAAAGACTGTATGCTAAGAATTTTACAAAATATAACTTTGAGAAAAATAACTGACAACGAACAGCTCCTAAAATACATTACTTTATACAAGTTATTAAGTAAACGTCAAGGATATATTTGTTACAATAACAATGACAGCAATGTACCTGAAGGTCATGTTCATAGTACATTCTTTTGGAAATTAACCTATGTGATTTTATAAAATAATGCTATTCAAACATTGAATGAATGCTAACTAGGAGGTTGATGTGTTAGAAAAGATAGAAAAACAGTAACACAGACAGACAAAATTCAATATGAATCCTATATTTATCTGGATTCATATTAACCCTTTCAACAAAGATCTTTATTTAGGGTCCTGTCAGATATATCAGCCTTCTTTGCACTGAGCATTTCTACAGCTTCCCTCAATTTTGTTGTGCTGTTTTGGCTGTACAAAATCTTATGCTTGAACAACAGCGATGATATCTTCTTCCTAACCTTCCTCTGGGAATGAAGGCTCTTGTAGAGTCTGTTCAAATCTTTCATCAGACAGAAAGCCCTGCACATCTGCAGCTCTGGCAGCGGCACACAAGCATTCTTGTCTTTATCCGCATGCAGCTGCACCACCCAGAACTTGGCCAGCTCAGTGGCACTCCTGGCGTGACTGGCCACCATGTTGAGAATCAGAGGGTAAAGGTCACCAGTTGCAGCTGGGATGGGATGTCTTAGGAGGTTACTGGTGGGGTGCAGGTCCCGGCATAGAAGAGGGCTACAAGGACATAAAAAAACATTTAGTACAAACACACACATAGAGTCAAGGAATGAAAAGAGAAACAAAAGAGTTTCCACCTTAGGGGAGATGATCAGGACACGGTCCGCAAGCTTTACTTGTTCCGCTAACCAGCGCAGCGGTCCGAGTTCTGCAATTTGTCCCTGCTGCCACATATCAATCGCCACCCTGCAGCCACCGTGCCACTGCAGAAACTCAGCCAGCGCCACAACCGCCCGCTGAAAGGCCGGCGTCACCGAAGGATACACCACAACCACCATACTGGAGTCATGGGGGCCTCGGGAAGGATTTCAAACGCAGAGTACGACGAAAACATCTTATCTGGAGACCAACAAAAAGAGGCATTTACTTAGAGCACTGATGTAGACAAAGCACACATTTGGTGCTGATGCATGTCATCAATCAGTACTTTATAAATTTTAAATCCAAGGGGCTAAGGTATGCTTTCACGGTGAGCCAAGTAAAGCAAGTCTGCTGAAAAAGGCTGCAGAAAGACAAATGTATTTTAGGTGGAAAGTGTTTTAGAGTTTTAAAGATACTGAGAAATCTAAACCTTCTTCAAGGGAAGAGCATGTTTGCAAACTGGGATGACGACGTTCAACATCGATAGCTGTTTATTACTTTCAGTGGTTTAATCCAAGCTCAGATTAGGTATAAATATACATTTTACTTACAGATAACAAAGCAGGAAATCAAAATTATCAACAAGGCCACAATTCCAAAAGCGATTATGTTGATGTTCTTAACTTCTTCTTTTCGTACTGCAAAAGAAGAAAAATATATTTAATAATTGAGACAGTGTGGCATGACAAACACTAGAACAAGTGAAGTGTCCACATAGCTGGGATTGAAACATTTGCGATAGTGTTATTTGATCTCAATTATGCATTTGATGTAGTTCATACCAATTGATAGATTCGAAAAATTGTTCTTGGGATTGTCTGTTATTGTGCTAAACCAGTTCAGGTCACATTCAGCAAAGGTGAACAACCTTGTATTGGTAATTATAAATGTGGATGAACAAAAATCATCAGTCATTGTTTTTTTTTAATTTTATTATTTCCCCCTAAAATGCAAAAAAATTATGCAAGAAGAATTTATGTTGTCTTGAACTCAGACCTAACTTTTAATAACTGCATAATGCTTGATACTGAGCCTACTATCATCTTAGAAACATCGCCAAAATTCTGGTTTCCAGTCAAAACAAGACACAGAAAACTGATTTTCAGTCGGTTAAGTTGCTATAACAGTCTGGTGTGATTGGCAAACTATTGAAGGATATCTTTTTCTGATGGTCATTTTCAAAGACATGTTTGAAAGATTAGTGATGTTTGCCAAGCAAATAAAAAAACAATACATATTTAAATTGTATTGATAGTTATACAATAAATTTTTCTTACTTTCATTATTCGGTGTTGTTGGCATAGACTCTGCAACAGAAAACAAAAAGCAATAAACATTCTCCAGATTTCTAAACGATAAAATCAGTGTTTCCTAACACTGACTGTCAAGGCACCTGCCCACGCTTTAGATGTTTCCTGATCCACACTCCAAATAGTGGCTGTGATGCACCAGCCAATAAGTAGTACAAGAAGAACAAGATGAATGAGATGAACGAGAAGGATAAGAAGAAAAGGAAGGTGTGTAAAAGCAGGGAAACCACAGAGAGGGCTGTGGTATTTATAGCAGTGTAGTAAACACTGCTATAAATAAAATGCTTATCCAAGGTAGAAGTATTATTTTATATGTTGCAAAATACCTAGCTATTATTTACCCTAATAGAGTAAAGTTTAAAATTTTACATTAAATGTGTATTTAATATGCTGTGTTGTCAGCTAGGTATAGAAATGGGGTCTTCTTGGCTGTAAGGATTATTGGTCATTTAAAATGAGAATGTTTTTTCCAAAAGATTTAACTTTTGCTGAGCTTGACACTTGATTTGCTTACCCAAAGTTGCCTTTGTAGTACTTGGTGTAACAGTTGCTGCAAAAAGAGAGAACGGTTCAAACATTCATGGTATGTCAGGTTTTGATTTTTAATATGGTAATTATTTTGTTTTTGTTTGCAAAATTACAGACACAGCATTTCTTTCTTAGTATTTTATCTAACGAATTAGTGGCACGTTAAGTTTAAAAAAAAAAACATTCTTTTTGTTTCGTTTATTCTTCAGTATATCAGTTAAAGTTGCTGATATACATTCTTGAAAGGATTTGCTTACTTGTTGTTTGACGAGGTACTGAAAAAGGCTTTGATAGTATTATGGGGCTACTTCCATCTGGAGGTAAAGGCTCATTATAAACGGTGACATGGTAGGAACCATAATTGACGCCAACTAAAAAAGAAAACCATTCCTGTAGGTGATACAGAAGATATATATATATATATTTTAGTATGGACTTTTAATTATGCAAAAAAAAAAATAAAATAGTTGGACCATCATTACAGTGTGTGATCATGTTGTTTGAAATAAATATCAGATAGTTTAGTAAGTCATTTGTACCTTCTCCAATCCACTGAGGTTTGCTTGAGTCAAAGGGGGTTTGTAGTGACAGATGTGAGTTAATGTTCCTGCAATGACCCTTGTGCCATTCAGGTGAATAATACTAGCTAGAGAAGAAAAAACAGTTTATAAACATGGTTAGAATTGATGGTTCACATTATTATTTCTTCATAGAGATAGAAAAAAGAGCATCTATAATTGAGTGTCATTTTTAATTCCAATCTTGTCTTTACAAGGCGTTAGAAACTTTGATAGACATGGGCTTCATTGACTTTAAGGTGACAGCAAAGCAGATAGGTAAATACTTGATCAGCTGGAAATTTTACATCTCCAAGTAACTTCAAAACATCAGCCCAAAACAAAACCCCTTCATGAATGCATCCATTCTGATATGTTTGATAGGCTAAGAAGCCTATCTTCAGCACACAACCTGTACACATGCATTACCAACACACAGTGTACATAGTGGAGTGGACAGTCTTGTAATTTGTCATTTAAAATGTTGACTCATATAATCTTTACCTACATCTTTAAATCTGTCTTGAGGTGACGGTTCGTAACATCAAAAACAAGAATGGTTTTTCCTACCATCAATGTTGATCGCCCAGCTTATGTTCAGCTTTCTTTCATGTCCGACCGTCACCAGTTCCACTTTCAGGCCTGCCACCTGAGATGGACTGTCATTTAGGGCTGTTGTGGGAAAAGCTAGAACATAGTGAAGTGTAATAATTATGAAGGTTTGTAGTACATTTATAGAGGTCTCAGTGAAAATATATGTAGACATTATTTTTATGTCTACACTGTTTTCCAAACCTGCTCACCTGAGCAGACTGTGCTGGGGTTTTGAAAACTTTTAGTTTCATAATATAATGTGAAGTCAGTGACACATAACTGATTTTGTTTTTATGATGAGCCAACAATTTTTACTGTCCTTTTTACTGGTGGTAATTACTATCAGTGGGATTTAGCAAAATAAAAAACGCATGCTACTTGTATGTGTAACTTTTATTAGAAACTAGATTAACTAGATTTCAGAGTGGATATCAACTATTTAGCTTTGCATAATAATCAACATTTAAATTATTGGTTTTTGTTAATTAATGTCATTTATTTTGCAACGGGATTAAAAAGTTTTGGGGTTTTTTGTTTGGTCTGTTTTTTTGTTTGGTCTTTTTGTAGATTTTTTTTTTGATTCGTTGGAGGTGACGCTGAAGTCGTGTTGTTTCAAATGGTCAAAAAAAATAAACCAGACAAAGATGACCTGAGTGGATACAAAACGAAGTTTTAAAATTCATGTTACTTATCAACAACTTCCAGGGAAATTTATTTTTCTACCCTGAGTGCTGCCTGATCAGAACAATCAAAAAATTGCCTAAAGATCTCTAGCGTTGGGAAACCTCAATGAGAGATATGGAGAAAACATGGGCAGTGGCGGGACCATCAACAACTCATCCAAGAGGTCAACAAAGGACCAAGGACAATATTTAGATAATCCCCAGAACAGTTAGGAAAATATTATAGGACTGAGGACACAAAGGATATATTTTTCATGTGTCACTTCTCACTGTGGCATCTTTAAGACACTGACACTGTTTTAGCATAATCATAAACAAGAATTACCTTCTGTAAAATAGTTAATGGGCTAAAATTCACCCACAGCAATGTACAACATTTGCTGCCAGTTATGGCAAAGACTATAGCTGACAATAATAATAATAATAATAATAATAATAATAATAATAATAATAATAATAATAATAATAATAATAATAATAATAAACACTGGGCTTACCGTAAGTCTTCGCACACTCAACTTTCTGTAAGAAAATTTCAGACACAATGTTCTCAGACAATATCAAATTTGTCTACAGTGGGTATAATGATGGATAACTTACTATGTCGTGGGCTGTCCCCTGAGAAACCACAAAGCAGAGAGAAAACATTATAGTTTGCCACATGATCATTGTCTGATCTAGAACATTCAAAAATAAAAAGAAAGAAAGAAAATCAGCATGAATAAAGATTGCAGGAGCCCGTGTTGATGCCCGCTGCGGACTTAACGAGCCCTGTGACAAAACTGTGCAGAACGAGGGAAAGACCAGCAGACTTAACCCCCGCCACTCATTTGTTGATCTAGACCCCCACTCCAGAGCTAAGGTAATTGTTGACCCCCCCCACCCCCCCTCTAGAGCTGCAGTCGAGAGCTAAGGTAAGAGCAAAATACACATGAAAAACTACTTAACATGACAGAAAATGACGCATTTCATGTAGGTGGGTAGGAAACGTGTCTCGCTCTGCTTCAGCTCGACTGAACGGAGTCTCTGAAGCGACATGCAGCGGTTTTCCCTCAACATCGAGCTGAAGCGGCTAACGAGCTGCTCCTCAGCTTCTCTGAGCAAAGTTAGGAGTTTAATCTGGAAAACTAACGATGATGCAGCCACAAGGACTTTACACACAATATTTGTAAAGCGCTTTATTTTAATCCTTTAAAAAAAATCCACGTTTGTCAAATACACGATCGATTATGTAGGACTAAAGAATAGATGTCGTAAAAGTAACCTTTAGGAGCAAAAGTGGAAACTGCAAACTTTAAACAGGAGAGTTTGCATCTTAGGGAAGAAGTGGTTTTGCACATTCATGTTATCAGTGGAGCTGCTATTGAGTATTAAGCAAATAGTTTGTAAAATAAAGCACACTAGTTCTCAGGAAAGAACTGTTTCACCGCCACCTTTGAACTAAAAGCTGTAAATAGAAGCAGTCAGTCTGTGTTGCCATGTCCGAACAGAGCAACAGGTCTGCGCGCTGATCACATTCAACTTAATGCAATTACAATTGTTACCTTAATCATGTTTAGATTAAAAAGACAAACAAGAAGTACCCATCGGTCAGACATTGAACTTGCGCTAAATATTAGTGGTGAATGTTGTTTACATTTGTATATTAAAATAGAGGAGCTGCTAGAGATGCTCCACCTAACAATCAAAAATATCAATCAAATGCATCAAAACTGACATACATTAGATTTTCAGTCAAAATGATGTCTGCCATTGAAATGGGAATTAAATGAGGATATCTATGAATGGTTGAAATATACGTCTTTATATTGATCCTAACCAAAAGCATAGACATTACTCTTGAATTTCATCAAGGTTTGCTTTGGATTATTTTTGAGGAATAATCTTTAAAGTCTCATTTTATCTTTGTTGTAAACATTTAAATCACCCAAAGAAGCTGCAGCACCCCCCCCCCCCCCCCCCACCCTCCTAAAGTTTGACTATTTAGAAAAAAAAACGGAATCAGTCAGAGTCAGCTGACCTAAAGAAAAACCAGTGGTAAATTCTGAGGGAAATTTCATTGTAAAGGGAAGTATTTACAACAGAAGTGCTTTAAAATGTACCTCACGTCAATGACCAAATGTGATAACACTAAGATTTGCTGATAAAGGAGTTTTGCACTGACAGTCAGCCCTTACGTCAAACATGTGAAACCCTGGGGTTTTAAAAATGATTGGTAATGGGGAAATAGTCCCATTATGTATCATTTGACCAATGTACATTCATTGGTCAAAGTAGCAGTGTTTCTTCTGTGTTTAAAGGCCTGCATGAACAGCTCACACACAGTGCAGTTATTTGATTTATAATTGCGCTATATTTTCTGTAAATTCTGACGTCTTTATGTTACATCTACAAAAACGCAATGGCCCAGACAGAGCAATCTTACAAGACGTCAAAGTCTAATTTTCTTTTCTTTAATGGCAGAATAAGTAAAAACTGGAGACTCATACAATGCACCAGAGGCGACTACTGTACTTAAAATATGTCCAAAACTGCATGACATGCTTCTCTATTCATTTGCTTAAAGCTCCCTGATATTTGGGATAAACTAACCTGGCAACTTCTTTCTTGAATTAAATATTTGCAAGACCAGACAGTTTATTGCAGGTGCTGTAAATTTTAGTGCAGACTCAGCCTGTTTGCAACACAGCATCACACATGGTGAAATAATTGTCAGTACAAGGTAAAAATAAGAACTGTGTGAAAGAGAACCACAATGATGAATCCATTGCTCAGCATTAGTCACAAATGTGTGACGCTTGAGGTTTGTCATTCATTTAGTAAAATGCATGACAGTTCTAATACTAGACCAATAGGCAAAGGTATTAAAGAGAAAACAAGTTAATTTATTACTCTCTGATGACTGTTAGGAAAAAGCATGGGAAAACCATGCTTCATTTGGTTTTATCATTTGGCAGGTCTGTACTTGAAGAAACCCTCACCTTGTGTTTCAACTCTGTTTTAGTTTTACATTCACCTTGTGTCCTCGCTAAATCATCATTGTAATGTACAGCTCATAAAGGAAGTTTCCCCCACAATTTTTGGCCATGATGGGCCAAGCAGGAGCCCAGAGACTTGCGACAGGAACCTGGAGAAGATTCATAAAGGATGGCAGGTGCTTACTTGTCGCACTTTTTCAAGAGAAATGGCCAAACTTACAGGACTTCTTTTTAACCTCCCTTGCTCTACTGCAGATGTTTCACTACCTCAGCTTCTCACCGGAACGCTTCATCCTCACCTGCAGCCAATCAGAAAACGCCGTCCTATAGCTATGTGGTCATTGGGGCAGGGTCAGCGGGTTGCGTCCTCGCCAATCGCCTGACAGAAGACGCCCAGGAGTCCGTGTGTCTGCTGGAGGCCGGACCCAAGGACAAGTGGCTAGGAAGCTCCCGACTCTCGTGGAAAATCCACATGCCAGCCGCACTGACCTACAACCTCTGTGATGACAAGTACAGTGATTGAGTATAAATTTAAGCAATTAGATCATCCTCAGTTTACGCCAGTGACTGATAAACTTTTGTCTTGATAATAATTCAGAGCTCAGAATCTTCTTTTAATTGTCCTACTGCGTTTCTTTTCACTCCTTTTCAGGTATAACTGGTTCTACCACACGTTACCTCAGGCCCACATGGACAACAGGGTGCTGTACTGGCCCAGGGGTCGAGTCTGGGGAGGATCCTCCTCACTTAATGCCATGGTTTACATCCGTGGACATGCAGAGGACTACAACCGCTGGCAGAGAGAGGGTGCAGAGGGATGGGACTATGAGCATTGTCTGCCTTACTTCAGAAAAGCCCAGAGCCATGAACTGGGAGAAAATAGGTACTTAGTTTAAATGGCTTTATTTATTTTGCAAATTACTTTTTGTTTGCATCAGTTTGACAGAGTCTAAAAATGGGCGATAAGATTTTTTTATCACAAAGTGTCAATGCTTTAAAAAAAAAAATCCATCTCTTTTTCTTTTATTGGCTATAAATCTTTACTCTGACGCAATCAAAGCCACACAAACATGAGACTAATTTAAAAATAAAAGTTATCAAAAGACAACTCCACTACATAGGTTCCATCAAGTATTGGAGCTGTGCTAGTCCACGGTATGAAATAATAGTGTTTAATCATAATTGTCAGACATTAATTAATTTATTTTTGCTGTCATAGAACCAGCAATGGGAAAATAGTCTGAACAATACCATCAGTTTTTAGGATTAGAAAACATTATCAGGGTACTCAGTCTGATTGTATGAATACAGTGTAATACATTTCAAACCTCTTAGAAAGTTCAACACCACAAGTCAAGTCACCTTGAGTCAATGGAAAGAAGTTTTCCTGCGTGTATTTCATATATTCTAGGTACATGAGGACACTTGAGATGCAATGGGCTTACTTTAATTGAATGACAACAAAGTGTGTCTATGTGTATTTTAAGATGAACAGAAGTTTTTCAAGAGTATGAATGTGTCTTTGCTAATGGAAATGTGAAACTCCGCTTACCTTTGTAGATGGTCATGTTTTTTTTTGTGATGTCACGTTTGGTTTAATTCTTCTATTTTTAATATTCACTGAATATTCAATCTGAATCTGAAATGACAGGGCTTTATTCACAGTCATAGAGGAACCCAGGACTGTGCATAAACTATTAATTTAACTAATTTGTAAATATGTCCAACTTAAAGCTATTATCATTCTGAGGTGAATGAATCTTAATTAGTACAGACAGAGTGTATGGTCTACGCTAACTGGCTTTGTTATTATCAACATTAATAAGACAATTGTCTGACATTAATGAACATATTGTAGCAGAGGTGCTTATACGATAATCCCACGCTTCCTGCTGGAGTTTGAAACTTCCTAGCATTTGTGAGATATTGTAATATTTTGTTTTTCCATCTTTTTATTTCAGGTACAGAGGTGGCAGCGGTCCTCTTCACGTGTCCAGAGGAAAGACCAACCATCCTCTGCACAACGCTTTTATCGAAGCAGGCCAGCAGGCAGGATACCCCTTCACTGATGACATGAATGGATACCAGCAGGAAGGCGTTGGCTGGATGGACATGACCATCTACAAAGGTAACAGAAACAGAGAGGAAAACACTTGAGGTTTAGTAAAAATGATGGAAAGAAGAGTTAAAGGGATCAGGTCAGGCTTAATACAGGAGCTGCATTAATGAACTAACAAAAAATAACTATATTTTTTGCAATTTTATTATTGGCGCTTGATTATTTAATAATCACCCCAAATGTCTGAACATCTTATCCATTATGGTGCTTATGTAGTCCCTTAGTAAGATGGAAAACTTACTAATGCTAGCGAGATTATAAATGCTGTGAAAACCTTCCAGCTCATCAGAAAACTGAATTGAAATACTGTGAGAAAGAAAACCTCATGGTTTAATATGTTAAATATGATCCTATATTTCATCTTTTGTATGTTTTGCTTTAATTGCCAATGCTGAAATATCAGTAAATTGGCCACAACTGAAAGCCAAACTTCTAATCTAGAGTTAAAGCAAAATCTTTCACTTGGGGATTGTATCTTCTCAAAAATGGAGCGCTGAGCTGGGTGGAAAAAGTGGATACCACCACTAATCTCCAGGATTTTACTGGACAAATAAATCTTGTCTGAATAAACACATGTTTTCAGGAAAGAGATGGAGCACTGCCAGTGCCTACCTCAGACCTGCACTGGGTCGGCCCAATCTGACGACAGAGGTGCACTGCTTGACCACCAAGATCCTGTTTGATGGCAAGCGTGCTGTGGGGGTGGAGTACGTGCAGAACGGAGAGAAAAAGAGAGTAAGAAGCACAACTATCTCACTTAATACAGTAGACAAAAAAAAAGATGTTTTTTTTTTAAATCATTGTTACCATTTTTCATTTTTTTACAACAGCTCACAGACTCAGTTTTTTCATTATTACTCAGGTGTTTGCAGATAAAGAAGTGATCTTGAGTGGAGGAGCCATCAATTCCCCTCAGCTTCTCATGCTGTCTGGTGTGGGAAATGCAGATGAATTGAAAGACCTCGGTATTCCTGTCATTCAGCACTTGCCAGGTGCGTGAAGTTTAAAGACTCTGTTGACATTGCTCTGTATACATTTTATGGAGATTACATCTTAAGGCGTTCAGGATTTTGAATCACTTTTTGACCTTGTCGTTCCTTGGTAGCTGGTTCTCATACTCCTGAAGGAGGCAGTTGTTGCACAACCTGTAACTTTACAAACATTTTTTGTTTGAAAAAATTCAGCAACACTGGAGCACCACAGGCGATTTTACTCTCACCTTGTACACATCCGACTTAGCCTGCACTGAGCAAAGTCGCCTTCCTGTGTAACTCCACTCAAATAAAGACGTCACAGTCTGGGCTTTCTCTCACTCGCTTGGATTCCCTCTGCTAGATGTTGTACCAGACCAATCAGGGAGCAGAAGGAGAAGTGGTGAAAAGGACGTTGATTTTCTGCGCTGTTTTGGAATTGTAGTCTGCCTGTAGTTTTAGTAATGGTAGCGGAGACAGTCTGCGATGCCCTCGCTTCCACATTGAATTAACATTAACAGGTGTCTTGTTCTCTCTACATAGCGGAGGATGGTTGTTTACCGTAAGCTTCATAGACTTGAACTGGTGTATTTTATACTTCGGGGCAAACATTAACTATAGGAAATTTAAAACGGGAAGCAATCGTTTCTCAATAGTCGAGATCCCAGACTCTCTGCTTAAGACAAATAGCGTAGGACAACGGGTCTGGTTTTTACCAGGCTACCTCAGACCTCAAGTTGAAGTTCTGCCAGCTGCAGAAATGCTCGGAATACTTTTACTGAATGTATTATAAATGAATAAGAAGCTCCTTCAGATTCACCGCAGTACAAACCACTACTGAGAGTCCTCTCTGTCCACTGTCACCAGTGTCCACTGCATAATAACTCTTTGAACAAGCTTGCATATTCTGACTTTCAGCAAAAATGTAATAAAGTTATATTTATTGAAGTATTTTTTTAATTGGATTTGGATTGAACTGAACATAAACTTTTGTCTTTTCACTGTGTTGTTCAGGCGTTGGTAATAACCTGCAGGACCACTTGGAGCTGTACGTCCAGCAGCAGTGCACTCAGCCCATCACCTTGTACAAGGCCCAGAAGCCTTTCCACATGATCAAGATTGGCCTCGAGTGGCTAACTCTTTTCACCGGTAAACAAATTCACCTCGCAAATGTATTATATCCCCTGACGTTTTTACTGTTTTATCACATTACAATTATGCAAAACCCTGATGAACTTTATTGCAGTCGTATGTTAGACGAAACACAAGTAGTTCTTAATGCTGAAGTGGAATTAAAATCATGAACGGTTTTCAGCATTTTGTGCTAATAAGAATCTGAAAAACAATTTGCTTTCTCCTCCTTCCATTTAGGCAACTTCACGTGACCAGGTTGTGTTTCTTTGTTTTCCGTATGGCTTATGGCAAGCCTCTAATGTGACTTTTGCATCAGCAGATTCATGTTTCTCCTCCTGCTTAGAATAAACAAAAAGGAGAGCAAATTATCATTGGCAGTATTTTAAGTATTAAAAAAAAACCAATACTTATTGATAACAACGGTTATGAAATCCTTGTATCGCCCAGACCTGGTGAAAACAATTGTGGGTCACACATTTCAAACTTTTATTTGTAAATGACTTTGAACCATTATTTTTAGTCATTATTTTTGTCATTTTCTTTCCACATTAGCGCGGTACACTGCTTTGTGCTTTTACGTTACAAAGAGTTTACAATTCCCTGCAGAAATACATGTGAGAGCATATTAACCCTGTGGCATGTACAGATTTTATAGAAGCATTTCCTGACACAGGTCATCAAAGTGAACTGTCCCACCTGTTTCTGATGTGCCCCTGCTTGAAACAAACCCTGAGTCAGATGTCAAGTTTATTAGAAGCCAAATTTAGCCTCCAATTAAAATCAGGCGTGCTGAAGCAAAGCACCTAAATTTACAGGGCAGTGTGCCTTGAGGACCAGGTTGGGAAACATTCTGTGTTGTCTCCAAACATTATAATATTTTATTTTACCTAAATGTTTTGGGGTTTTTTCAACAAAATGATCAACAAAATGAATACACTTATATATATATATAAATTTTGTTTATATGTATATATAAAACTAAGACACATATATACCTTATAGGAACATTTTTTTAAAATTATTTTTACTCAATGCAATTTGTAGAATTTGCCTCAAATAGGACTCGGGTGTTTCTGGGAAATGTTCTATGCAGTGACAAACGGCACTGATTGACAACTGATTACTGCAGGAAACAACTCTGTGGTTTGGCAGTTAGGAACATTAGCTATGCCAGACATAGAGTTGGTAGACATACTTTTTTTAATCAGGTTGTGATTGTTTTTTTTTTTTTTTTTTTTTATTGTCTCAACCTTCTTCCCCCAGGCTACGGAGCTACAGCCCACTTGGAGAGCGGAGGGTTTATCCGGAGTCGACCTCACGTCACACACCCTGACATTCAGTTTCATTTCCTGCCCTCACAAGTTATTGACCATGGCCGGGTTCCTTCAAAGATAGAGGCGTATCAGGTGCGACAAATGACAGATATGCTCTTTTCTCTTTCTTCCTCCTAACTGTGGGCAGTGTGTGCAGCCAAATTTATTCATTACTTTCATTTAGACTGCTAATAATAAACTGTATGCTTTGTCTCTTCAACAGAAAGTTGAAGAGACAAAGTAGTACATGTAGTGTTCCCTTTACTGTTCCATGGAAAGTCACATTAATACCTGGCTCTTCACAGAAAATTCTTGGGAAATGATTCTCTCTTCCAGAGAATTACTCAAAGGGAAATAGCTTTGGGTTAACTCCATCTTTCCATGCAGATAATTTAAGAGACTCATGAAAAAACATATTCTACTGTGTGAAACTACCTAAAATGGGTGAAGTTGTTTAAGTAGGGCTTGATTCAAATAGATACCAAGTGAACACTGGTATTGGGTCAATGCTGTTGTCTCTTCCAAACCTCATGTAAATTTCAGAAATTTCCCCAGAGTTCATGCCATATGCCAATGCCAAACATCAGGCGCTTACTTTTTTATTATGATTCCGTGATGTCATGCCTTTATAATGTTGATATTAAAAACATCTGCTCATAAATGCAGCTTCTCTCCAACACTGTCAGTGCAGAAGGCATGTCCTTCCTCGGCTCCTCGATCTTGCAGGCTCACTTTGCCCCTCACTCTCCCTGCTTTGCAGAAGAGGGAATTTATCACTGTGATAACGCCACAAATTTACATAAACATATCAAAGCAGTTCACCTTCTAGTGAACTCCAAGACACAGAAAATGTTGGTAAAAGTTGATCAGAGATGCAGACTGATTAAATATTATAGTCTATATTCAGCCAGCTGAATACAATTATACTGGGTTTCAAAAATATTATATGTACCACAAACGTAAAATATGAATATAAAATGAATATGGTCACCCTTTTGTGTTAATTAAAGGCAAAATGGTATTGCTATAGAGGTTACATGCAGTTACAGGCGACGGTATACCAATATTTTTGGATTGTTGCAACGATTTGAAGGACCTACAAGCTCTCGCAACAAAACGGTTCAAGAGTTTGCTGAAGATCTCTGTGAAAAAAATCTTAGTAGTAAAGTTTCCTTGTGAGAAAACCAGCATAGGGCCAACAAAGGTGACTCAAAAATACTTTCTTAAGGGCTTTATGAACAAATTTTTCTATATTTCTGTTGTATTATCGATATCAGTGTATTCATATCATACTATTGGCTTTTATCCAACTTTTTTCTTAAACAAATGTGTAGAAGAAGATACTGTGAGAATTATTTTATCTATATACTGCTACATAATTTTATGTTGTTGTTTGTTGATTAAAAAAATACAAATTTTCCTAAAATTTGTGTCCCTTATAGTATCATTAACATAATGCAGTTAGCCAAAAATGAAATCACAGCATAATTATTAAATGATCATGACATTTCAAGACAATAAGTATTGGTACTACTTGCTATTCTAGCCCGTTATTTACTTGATAACAAATTCCCAGTATTACTTACCATTGTTGTGAAGAACTATATACTTAATTGACTGGTTTTTTATATGAGTACACTTTTTATTAAGCTTAATCTTCTGGAGCCTCTGCTATCCTGCCAACATCTCTAAAAGTGTAAAAGTCTTCAAAAATAAGGAGTGTTCTCATGTTTTAGGTTCATGTTGGACCGATGAGAAGCACCAGCATTGGCTGGATGAAGCTGAAAAGTCCCAATCCCACAGATCACCCAATTCTCCAGCCAAACTATCTCTCCACTGGTAAGAACTGAAGTCGCTTGCTTGGCTGAAATAGAGCAGAAGATAAAACAGAATCATGTGCGTTTTCTGTCTTATCTTTGCAGATATTGATGTGTGGGAATTCAGGCAGTGCGTCAAACTGTCCAGAGAAATTTTCGCTCAGAGTGCCTTCGACCAGTTCCGCGGTCCTGAGGTCCAGCCCGGTCTCCAGGTCCAGTCAGACGCCGACATCGACGCTTTCGTCCGCCAGAAGGCCGACAGCGCCTACCATCCCTCCTGCACCTGCAAAATGGGGTCCGCCTCCGATCCGACGGCGGTGGTGGACTCGAGCGCACGCGTCCTGGGTCTGGAGGGACTTCGGGTGGTTGACGCTTCCATCATGCCCAGCATCGTGAGCGGGAACCTGAACGCCCCTACGATCATGATAGCAGAAAAGGCAGCCGACATGATCAGGGGTCTGCCTCCTCTCGTGGACCGGGGTTCCTGTGTACCAGCCCCCGACGCTCGAAACGCAGAGATGATCGGCCGATTCGATGATTTAACTAGAACGATCTCTGAGGTGGGAGCAGCGGGGAATTTAATCAACAAAAAGTGTGACTTAATTTTGTTTAACTTTTGATTCGCTTAAACTCTTTTTGAACTCCACAAATTGCCCTTTGCGTTGAAGTGAAGGATTTAGCATGAAGTTTGATATGCAGGCAGTCTGCCGGTTGGGACCAACATACTAAGAGATCATACATCATTCTAAAAGTAGACATTATTATAGCCTGCCGCATAGCAGCTGTGCAGTAAATGCAAATTGCTTTTTGCAATTTGCATTTACTTCAAATTGCAGTAAATGCAATTTACTGCAAGTTCAGAGTGTTGCTGTACACTGAGCAACAGTGAACACTTGCTCAGTGTTTTTGTTTAAATCTACTAATACATGAGGGCTTAAGGGGAATGCCGTTTGCACCAACATGGTTCATCTCAATTTCACCGTATCCACAGCTTGAAATGTTTTCAGCATTACAGAGAAACAGGTGAAACACTAATAAAACAAAAATCAGACTATAAGTCATTTGGTTCAGCTTCAAATATTATTGTCCCGTTAATTATGATTTAATGCCTCTGATATGAAGGTTCAGTTACAGTGCAAGGTTCTGTCTTCTTGTCTACTGATCAGCTTCCTTCCTGCAAACCTGCAGCTGTTCAGTTCAGCTCATTTTCAGAGGTCTGTTTGCAAACTGTTGAAGTTAACAGGAAGGCAATCGCTCTTTAGTTTCTGTTTGAGTTAACCTTATCTCAAAAAGGGACGTTTTTACTGCAAGCCAGTGTGCTTGCACGGTTGCTTCTATGTTCAGAAAAAGATTTGTGCTGATTAGATTGGCCTGCAAAGCTGCCTACATCAGCATTTTCTATTTGAACAAATGTGGGACGACACTTGTTTTCTGACATAAGTCGTAGGGACATTTTTAAACCTCCTTCAAAAAACAAAAGCTTTAAAACACATATAAAAGGAAGAAACTTAAGATTTTGTGACCAAAAAAACTGCCTTTTTCAGATTCTAGCACTAGCAGATCTCTTTACTAATGTACAAAAGTTTTTTATTTTCTAGATTGCAGCTGTTGCATTTTAGGGCAAATACCATTTTTACATATTTTCCTTCTCAATTGTGTTCAATTCATTTCAATGCATTTTTATACCCCTTGCTCACTACAAATTTGGTCTCAAGGCTCTGTTCTTCTTTTTGTTCTTAATTGTTCATTTAATTTCAAAAATAAAACTATATATGTGGGGAACAAAGTGAAGAAAATGCAGCTGGAAGGTACAGAAGAGTAGTGCTGATACTTTTAGAACTGTTGCATTAATACATGCCAATATGCATCCAAGACAAAAGTAGGAAAGTGTAACTCTCTAGCTCCAATTTGAGTCAAAAGGTTTTACTTCATACAAGTCTCACTTTTTTCCAGTTTTATCACCAGTTTGTGTCCTTCTGTTGTTTCACCTATGCTGCAGTAAGGTCACAGCCTGTCACAACAAGCACACTTTAAACGACTGAGGTTAATTTTCTCAAATGTTATTTGGCTCTAACAAGTTACTCCACCCTAATGCAGCATGGAAAATCCAGGGGAGATTAGCATAAATTATCTATATTTAGGACTACAGCTGCTTAACTTGCTCTATAAGCTTTGGAGGAGAACGCTGTTTGCTTCCGTAGAGTTTTTGCTCACATTTCCTGCAGTGCAGCAAAAATGCTGACCACGTTGTTTTTCTGAGTCTCCAAAAAATGGAAACGCATGCATTCCACATTTTTATTTCAAGTCAGAAACAAAATTTTTCTCTGTCATTGCCTTGAGAGATTTCCATAATGACTGTGCCTGTTTCACTGATCATGACTCAAAAGGTCCTTTTTTGTTTCAGGAAAATGTGTTGGCATTCCTGATCCGCTTTGGAAAACAGTGGAAAACTCATTTTGCGATTTAATGCTTTTCATCATTTTCAATATCAAAGATGCAACATTTGCCCTTTAAAGCAGCAGTTCGCCTTGACTTGCTCCAGACCGTATCACAACATGCAGAGCACTAAACTGCACATTCATGTGGAGTGTTTATTAACAACAGCTAAATATCAAACACGGCAAATTATGTTAAAATGCACCTTTTTTCTCTACACTAAAAATTTAGAAATCCCAAGTATGTGTTAAATAAAATACATTTCTTGTATTGTTTTTATGAGTGATTACATAGATTATCTTAATAAAATTTATAAACGACTGATAAGGAAAATTAAGGTTTTAACATAAATGCAATAAAAGAAATAGTGCCTTTAAGATTATTTTATTGTTGATACAAATTTGTGATCGAAGTTGATGCATATTTGTTGTGATTTTATTTTATATTTTCACTAAAATCTTAAGTATTGACTGAAGTCAATTATCCGTATTATAAGCTACAATGGATCTTATTTTCTACAATGACCTTAACTGTGTTAAATTGTGTTTCTTTGTTAAAAATCCATACTGTGACAGCTATTGTTTACACTATACTGCACTGTTGTGCAATGATGCATTAATCATTTTTTTCTGTATTCTATTTTTCTGAAGGAATAAACATGTGAATCAGAAAAGGATATTTTATGTTTTATGTTAATATATCAGAGCTTTTCTTTATTTTTATTTTTTTTTAATTGATTGTCAACAAGCCATCCTGACCTTGTCCTCTTTATTTAGCAATTATTACAAAAATCAGCAGGTGCATCATCATTTCAGGCAAAAAAATCAAATGTACAAAACAAGGATGTTGCTTCTGTTGGTACAAAATCTAGAAGGTACTAATTATTCTGCTACAAAGTAGATAAAGACAACTTTTAAAGTGTTTTATACACAAATAGGTAGAAAGCAGAAATCTTCAAGTTAGTTCTTACAAACACTATACAAACTGTTTTTTTACAACCTTTTACAGACCTCTGTAAAGCAGTGGCAAAGTAGAAAAAATAAAGCTGAGTTGCACAACCAAGCCTTGTGTTCTTTGTCACTTTATCTCCTGATAAAACGAAATTGTTGATTTTTTTTTTTCTTCAAATACTTGTACTATAAATTGTGTTCTTCTGTAAGTGGATGACATTTGACAGTTGGACTGTGGCAGCATCATGCAGCATTGGCTGATATTTTGATTTTATTATAAAGTTATTTCTAGAAGCAGCAATTGATAAAAAACTGAATAAGGAAGATGTTTGGTACAAAACAGCTGCTGACGTCCTGTTGGCTGGTAATCCAAGACACCTCACTACTGTTGGACAGGTTTGTAAAGAGAATTAATGAAGTAAATGTTTTCCTTTCACCCTTGATTAAATCTTAGTACTTGAAAATTTTCAGTTTCGCTAGAAATCTAAGCTTTCAAATATCAGGATTATTTTTCTGTTGGTTCAACACAAACTCTGACTCACGGTCTCTAAACTCTTATTGCGTCTGTCCAAACCTCAGATAAACCATGACACAATATTTGTTTTTCCAAACAGTTTGCTTTCCTGTGCTGCTCAAGAATGTGTTAACGTAATCCTAAAAAATGAAAGACATCAGTCAGTCCTCATGAATAATTCGTAGTCTGCCCATTGATTCAACAAGGGATTATTTTTGTACTTAAAAAAACTCAATATTGTATCTTAGGTAAGTAATGTTCGCTTTAGAAAGGACTTTTTGTAGAAAAATGTTTTAATATTCAATGGTAACATTAAAACATTCCCACTATTGAGCATCGTGATGTAATGATTTTTGTTGCCTCGGTACTTGGATACTTAAGTCGCTGCTAAATCTTGGATCATTCCGAATACAATTGAATATCTTAACACCATTAAAACAAAGGAAGGCAATCAGGAGGATGATTCCAATAAATCAATGAGTATAAATGGATTAGTCAAAGTCCGGACCTCAAGTTGATTGGCATGCTTTCAGGACCTTATAAAAGTCATTGCATAATTTAATTTTTCTGCAAATATTGATGGGCTTAATTTATCATGTAATGGAGAGTGGCCAAAAGGCCTATAAAACAGCTTAAGAAGATAAATACAAGTTATTTCAGCTACACATCATCCTATTTGTTTCACACTGACTTTTGCAGCGTGGTAAAAGTTTTTGTCACATATTAAGTTTTACTGAGACACTTTCATGTGTGTGTGTTTTTTTTTTTTTTTTTTGAAAGCACGTTTTTTAACTGAAACATGTGGACCAGGTCAGGTCACTAAATATGTTTCTGTGTTGTTTTCCCCCATAACTACTATCCAATCTTAGGGGGGCAAAAAAATCATATCCAAATCCAGACAAATAGTTTTATAATTAGTTTAAATTTTAATGTGGTTATGAAATACCAAAGTCCCTATTGTTTATGTATGTGTGTCTACTGTGGTGAAGTGTGTGTAGCTGTGCACAGCAATCCCTTTGTTTTGGTCGTATCAGTAAAGAAGCCCTTTGATTTCACACATTGCCTTTCCACAGCCCAGAGCCGATATCTGCAAGTCGACCTGAAGCTGTCATAGTTTGGCAGTGCGTCGCGGAACATGCAGGCCAAAGCTGGAGCAAATAAAGCCGAGCCTCACATCCTGCTGGATCTGTGTGGTTCTCTTCTCTCTCCACAGATGTAATTGTTGTGAAACTGCCTTTAGGAAAAAGCTTCACAGAAACATGCAGGGCTGAGATAGATGGATGAGCTCACCCCCAGAAAATGTTCAACATGGAGGCTTGTTATATGTGTCCATCACATGTGAGTGCTATTCCACCCGATTTCACAGCTGGTCAACAATCTGACTGCTGACAGTTGTGAAACAGCGTTGAAGTAAAACTCTTGCAGCTGTGGAGGCGATCCTGAATGGTTTCGGGTTAAAAATGGGTGAGAGTAAAAGCGTCGCACACCTCAAGATCTGTTACAATGGTTTACATTTAAGCCTTTTCTCATAATAAACTCAACTCCATCCTTTTGGGATGATTTCTGGGAAAGTGACAAATTGCATATTTTAGGATGCAGGAGAAAGCACATAGAGTAGAAGGATATGCCTGAGGACAAAGTCTTGAATTATTGATATGTAATTTCCTCTTCAAATAAAAAAAAAACGAGAGCAATGGTTAACCCTGAACTTTTAACCCTCAGCAGCTTGATTTGAATATAGAGTCCTTTGCAAAAGCATAGATGCCTCTTGAACCTTTTCACAATTTGTCACCTTACAACCACAAGCTTTGACAGGTTTTACAGGGATATTATGTAAAGTAACGCATAATAATGAATGAAAACTGAGAAGCCAACATTCTGGAGAATCTGTTTCTGCTGTAAATGCTGCTGCGGCTCGCTTCTGTTGAGCAAGCTGCAGCAGTTTTTATGGAAACTAAAAGACGCCTTTTATTTTTACCTGCAAGATAAATTCTTATATTCCTCAAGCTCATTAAAATTGGATAGAGAGAAACTCTGAACATGGGTATCTATGTCATTGAAGCACATAAATATGCTTTGACCTAAGACAATACTTATTTAGTGGGTTTAACTGTATTATTATGACATCATTAATTTGATGCCAAAATAGACAGAGGGAAATTTGTGCCAACACTCCGACTTTTTTTTCCCAGTCATGACTTTCAGTTGTGCAAATATCGAGACAGTTTCACATTCATATCCTCCTTACGATTCTTTCTCCATCCTGCGGTTTCTACTGCCTTACGTCATTGAAGCACATAAATATGGCCTTTATTTTAGTCCTTCCTGTTCTTAAATATGCATGGTTTTGTTGGTCTATCAAATGAGATCACAGTAAACTACACTGAGGTTTGTGGTTCCAATGAGACTAAATGTGGAAAAGGTGAAAGAGGTGTGGCTGCTTTTGCTATCTGAGCTGCTCCTGCTTTGTTTCCATCTTATTCAGATAAGCAAACAAAAATATATGTTTTCATCAATCCTGACCAATAAGGTGTAAAATCACACATTTTATACACATAAAACGCAACTAATTGCAGGAATCCTTGGAAAACCAAAGGCCCAATTAGCTTTTGACATCTAAACTGCGAACCAGGCAGTAAGATTTAGAAATGCTTTGCCATCTAAAGCTATTTACACAACAATAGAAGTCTATTTAATTTTTCTGCTTGTGTGTGCAGGTGGTGAGTGGTGGCACATTTGTTTTTATTGTGTTGGCTCTTTATGAAGTAAACAATGAGATTTACGGCCTTGTATAATACTCACAATAGCCGAGTTATATCATCCTCAGAATCTAAAACCAAAAGTTTAGAATTTTTATCCATCTGATGTCAATTAGGAAAATAGAAAACAAGTTTCAACGACTGGCTTGCCCACCGGGAAGCTGGTGTGTAGATTTATGTCTCCTGATTTCAATTACAGCAGGTTTTTTGTGTTTGTTTCTCTATGACCATGTGTCCGTTTTATCTGCAATCTACTAAGCAGAAAAAGAAAACAAGGCACTTTGCTCTCACGTTTATCCCGTTTCTAATTTTCTGTTCTCCGCGGGGCCTGCTGAGACATTCCCGTATGTTAAATGAAACCAGACAGAGTCCGCTCTGAGTCGCTGCTATAGAGAAGTGATGCATATCATCTCGTCCGTTAGGTCCTCCTCACACTTCACAGCCACGTACTGCTCCTCATCGCTGTCGTCCCTCTGGTGCGCGTCGGCGAGTCGCGAGTCTGAGCTGACGCTTTCCGTCCCCGCCACGTCGCCGTTACCCATGCTGCCGTTCAGCAGATTGCTGGCGGCGCTCTCCATCTCGTCAATGGTCATCTCGCAGGCGTCTGCGATCTCGTGTTTGGCCGCTGTCACAAACTTGGGGTCCCTGGCGTATTTCCCGAGACCTTCAGAGATCAGGACCTGGGAGGGATGCGAGAGAAACGGAAGATCATGATGATAATATTAAAAGACAGATAAAAAAAAAAATCAGATCAGAAGGAGAGAATGTGTGAAAGCAGCTAAGGTAAACCAAAATGGTGGAACTAATTAAATAGCTGAATTATTAAGATTACTGAGGACGACAGCTGATTGTTAGCTGGACAGAATGCAAAGGTGAGAAACTCATAAGAAACAGCAGCCATTTTTGTCATTTTATGTCATAAATTATCCTTCAGTAACAATTACACCATGACTGGATGATGATGACAGTAACTGCTTCAGGATGTAGATAGAAAAAAACAGTAGGTTTTCATTACTACATGGTCCAAATGAACATTTTTAGACATTTTATAATCTATACATAGGTATGATATTTGACTGGTTCATTCTCACACATGGATATGGCCTTTTGTCAACCTGGATGGATGTCCAGGGTTTCTGTCATGCTGGAAGATGGACCACACTGATAGATAATTGATTTTTTCCCAGCATCGTCATGAATTTAGCTCCATCCATTTTTCAGTCAACTCAAGAAAGGCCACCACTGTCCTTCACTGTGAGGAAAGTGTCTTTTCGAGTCGCCTGCTGACCTGCACCGGAGCTGAGCAACATTAAGTTACTGATTCACTCACAGCCTCCACCAGACTGCTAGCGCTGCCTCTGTTTTGCAGGAAGTGTGAGCAGCTTTCTGCGGGTAGCTGCAGACGTGACGGTGTTTGGCTGCGGCTGGGCAGGCTGTCCTGGCAGTCGGTGTACCAAGAACTTCTCTTCATGGCCCCAGGGATGCTGCCCACACTGCCAGTACTGCGCCAGTCCACCTGAACACAGACATTTCACTCTTTAGCCTTTACAAAATCCACGAGGCAACAGCAGGGATTGGGTTTTTCTTTTAACAACAGCCGAAAACATAAGTTAATAATATTATTTGGTTTCAATGTATGGATAAAGAAGTGATAAGCTTTTGTTACAGTTTAAATTTCTAAACACACATTTTGAATTTCTAAATCTCATGAGTTTCTTTGATGTTTTTAAGACATTGTTTTCTGGGTATCCACAGTATGTCAAATTCAAGACTTTTAAAGACCTTTTTAATGCCATCTTAATCCAATTTAAGACCTAATAGAACTACAAACCCAGGGACTGGTCAAGCATAGATAAAAATGTGGAATTTCCTGGGTTTGTTTGTGGCTCTTGGCAGTGCTGTTTGTGTTTCTGCATATGGCTCTATGCAAAAATTCACCATAGACTGCAAAAAGCTAGCAAGCCTACAAGGGTACATTAGCAGCGAGACACTGGTAGCCTCATCCACTTCAAATCACAGAACGCAATATGGATGACACAAGTCTGACAGGAAATTACATGTATGAGATGAAAAAGTCCCAGACTTTAGACGTCTGTGGACCAGCAGATTTTAACGTTCCATTTCTACAGCAATGCAGACGGTCGATCGGCGCCGACCAGACCTGTATGAGTGGCGTGTAGCAAGGGCCGCAGTCACGGCTGATGGGGGAGGCGGGAGGCGTGGCCCACGAGCGTAGCGACCTGGTGGGAGACAGATGTGGGATCCTGGTGGCGTCCAGACCGGCTACTGCCATCACCTGAACGGGAGCGAGGAGACAAAACAGGTTTCTAACCCCAACATCAGCCACATTTCACTCGTTTCCAACAGGCGTAGGCGTACCTGCTGCTGCATCAGGTGCAGTGGAAGAGTGCATGATGGAGATGGAGGAGCTTCATCTATGCTACTTCTTCTGCGAAGACACTCAAAGCTGAATGTTGGTGTGTTGCAGGCTTAGAGGGAGCAAGAAGTGAAACTCTTTCAAACTCAGGATGTTTGAGGCTGATATTGTCAAAAAGCATATTATTTATTTTATAATGTCAAATGAGAAAGAGGAAACATTTAAGATTTTATACACAGAAATAGCCTAATCAAATATAACATATGCACTGCAATTTTCTACTAATTATTTTAAAATACATAAATTCTATCAAATTAAGGTACTTTGAGTAAAATGTTTACGTATTTGCAGATCTAAAAGATTTCAATCACTCAAACAACTTAATGACAAAAGCATTATTAAAGAGAAAGCAGCTGAACCTTGGGGGGATGGTAAAAACCATCTCCGAGGCGACCGCCGGTCATCCTGGCATATAGGCTGCTTGTCGTCGTCACAGTAACCTTCAGACTCACAGTCGTCCCTGAAAGGGTCCAAATCTCCGTCTGCAGCGTCATGGAAGTCCGACCTGGACAACCTGTCCTTGGTGAGCATGATGTCGTCTTCGTAAAATTCCTCCCCACTGAAGTATTCCCCAGACGCCCGCTCTTCATCGCTGTCCCTGCCGCCTGGCTCCTCTCGGCGAATGGTCGGGTGAAGCGCTCCGCCATTTTTTGACCTGTCAGCAAAATCACACAGACGTTTTGCAATTTTGGTTGTTTAAATTCCATTCATTGTACTGGACCCAGTTTGTTATTTGATTAATGTTTCTTAGAATCTTTCATCTAGATTTTGAGGAGCCCGGCCAAAAAATAAATAAATCTTGGCTTACAGCCCGTCTGCACAAAGCAAATACTGTAGAACAAGAGGCCGGTTTTTACCAGGCTAGATTGAGAGCAAAGATGTCAAATTTTGTCAGCGTGACTCCAAATTCAACCAAAATAGATTTGGCATCAAAAGTTGTGAAGCTCTAAGTTGTACGTCATTTCAGTGGCTGCATTGGTTACATACCTAATATAGGCCTCATAGTAACGCGTCCTGATCCATGTAAAGAAGGACGAGGCGATTCAGGCAGAGAAGAATGGTATAAGCAGAACAATGGAAACAAAAATGTGAAAATGTGAAAGTTTTAAATTTTTTTCAACAGATTCAGTTCTGGATTTTTACACAAGAACTGCAATCCGTACCTTGACAAATTCACTTTACAGGATAAACTGGTCGTAATATTTTACCTCTTAGATGTGTTTTTCAGTTTAGATCAAAATAATAGTTTTTTAAAACTTAACAATGATGTTGGACTGCTACTATTTTGACCAAAACTGTGAATACAGGTGAACTAAAACATAACGCTGTTTCTGTAACCCACCTTGTGGAGTGGGACTTCCACTGCTTGTCATGCAAGCCCCTGCTGTAAGACGTTGATGACTTATTTCTTGCTGAAGACGGGCGACATCGCTGCAATAAACACTTCTGCTGCCTCCCAGAGGACATCGAGAGAAGCGAGGGCACGTTGGCGTTGTTGAGGTTGGCGTTGGAGGGTATTGGGGACTGAGCGGAGGTGGAGTTACAGTGAGGGTAATCGTACAGGTGAGGGGAATGATGATGGTTGTAGTGGATGGGTGAGGAGTTCATCTCCGTCTCTCCTTCCTTGTCGCTGCTGCTGGCTCTCCTGCAAATCTGAGTGGGAGTGCAGTAGATGATCTGTAGGGGGCGCTGCGTGACGGTAGTGGGCTGGGGATGATCCATGCCAACGTGGTTAACATGATTCCCAAAAAGGCCGCCGTTGCGCTTCGAGAAAACAACAGACATTAGCAACAAAAAACAAAGACCAACAAACCAGATTACTTGATTGTAAATTGACTTTTTCTATTGTGAACAGTCTCAACCAACCGTCTTATTTTTAACAATTAGACAAAGCGTACATTAAAACATTAAGGAGACCTATTATGCTTCCTTGAACAAGTTAGTGTATGGGCTGTGCAAAACATATTCAGCACATTTTTACAAAAAATCCTCAGTTTGAGTTTTCACCTCATACTCTGAAATCAGTTTGAGCTTCTTTAGGGATCAGCTGTTTCATGTTTTAAATAGGTTTATGTCACACATATGCAAATAAGTGATGTTGGCCACACCCCCCAATTTAATGTTTTAAATATGAAAATGACTTCAACCAAATGCACACTTGCACAATGAAGCGTCTTTGACCCAAAAAACAACTGGTTGGTTGTTTTTGTGCTTGGTCTGTTTCTACAAGCAAATGGAAGTACAAAAATGTGCAAACAGACAATATTTTGAATAACAGGCCTCCTTTATAACACACATAATTTTTATTTTTGTTTTTTACCGATAAATCTCCTCTTCTTCCTCTCCCGTTGCTTCTACAAGCCCTTCCTCCTGTAGGTCACATGATATGGCTCGGCGAATTTCTGGTCCAATGTCATGCAGGGTGCGCAAGCCGGCCTGCAAAGTAAGAACAGCAACTGTAAGATGTGACAATTATCAATGTAGGGACTAAAATGTGGATTTAAATAATGTTTAAGGAATAGTTTTATAGCTGGGGTGAGTACTATAACTTTAAGGTCACTGTAAAAGTTAAGCCTGACTTTGCAGAATCACTTTAGAAGAGATAACAACCAAAAAATTACTTTGACAAAAGCAGAAAAAACACATTCCTGTGTGGGTGTGTTTGTTCGTCATGGATAATAGCGAGTGTTGATATTTGGAAACCTGCTTGTTTCTTCAGAACTGGCAAAGATTCGTGACCGTTTATGTTTCGGCTGTACAAAGATTTTTTTTTTCTTGAATTTTCATTAAATAGTTAATGTTTAGTTTATCATTGAAAAACTTAAAATACCAACAAATAAACAAATAATCACAATAAATATGTTTTTGTGTAATTAAGAAAAATGATAACTTTGTGACCCACGAGAAAAAGCACCAGACTAAACACACCGATACTACCAAACAGGCCACATGACTCAGTCATTATACGGTTTCCTTGTATTTCTCCAAGGAATCCAAAAGCTGTGCAGCTGATCACTCACAGGGAAAGAGTTTCTCCATCATGAGAACGGGACATGGTGGTGATTGGGGTTCCTCAGAATCTCTCCGATTTTTTTTTCTTTCGTTTTCACGCTATGCTCAAAAGTTCCTTCTCATCAGCAGAGGCAAAAACAAACAAATCTTCTGTTTTAGAGACCAAGCATGCGTCATATTCAGTCAATCATACCCTGGTTGCCGCAGAATACGCTTACTGTAGAGTATCGCTTTCTATTTGAGAAAATAAATTTAAGAAATTACTTTAATGCTCTAAAAATGTTTGTTTCACTTTAATTAAAATAAAATAGAAAATTATTAAAACAAAAACATGTAACTCCACATTTAAATGTACAAAATGTTCTTAAGTGGGGCATTTAAAAGGCACTACATTTAGGAATTAATTTAAATAATATTAATTTTTTTAATTACTTAATTTCTTTAGCGCCCATTCGCAAACCGTTTGAGATACAAACTGTTTTGACTCACCTGCAAAGCCAGAGTGGTGTTCTCCCAAGACCTCCTTCCCACCAGACCTTGCTCTTTGCGCCTCTTGAATTTTCTGAAGTAGTCCTGTATCAGGAAGGTGGCATAGAACTTCCCCACTGTTACCTCGTCATCTAAGTGAACAGACCAAACACACCAGAAGCCTCCCGCATCAGGACCCAAACACCTCAGCGCTGATATTCTGCAGTAAGCCGAGCCGAGGTCAAACACACGACATTCAAAAATACCCTGGAGTCTGAGAGGGACCAGAAGCACGAATGCCTGAATGTGCCTGATGATAGTCGACGCCACAGAGTGAGGGATGCCAAATACAGAAAGTGTGTGTCTAAAGTTAGAGCCATGTGTTGGGGAATGTCCAGTGTGGTCATGTGTTGGTTCTGTCATCTGATTTTAATCCACCAATTCTCCCCGAACATTTTGCAGGACCAACGACACGCTTTGCTCGGAAGTGTCTCCTGAGGAGATACGTAGCTATTTCTAGTTGTGTCTGGCTGACACTTAAAGACGGGGTTTGTGTGTTGTGTTTGTTTCTTCTGCTTACAGCCTGTGTCTGTAATGAAATATGATGCATTTAGAAATGTTAGCAGATTTTAGGCAACGTTAGATATAAAATGAGGGTCCAGACACAATGAAGAATGTACCTGGAGAATAATGTTTACAATTATTAATGCTTACACTAAGCAATAAGTCAGTTTTTCAGAAACAGGTTGAAAATTCTAATTTAATGATCGTTTTGTGTTTGTTTAAAAATATCAATAAAAGCTGGTATGACTGTTCTCGCACACAGTTGTAGGGTATTGTTAATTCCAGTTCTTAAAAATAAATTTAAAGCAATTAAATCCTCTACCAGCATGCCAGAGCTTTACAAAAAAAACTAATATTAGAGGCCAATTAACAGAAATTGCCCATAAATTTCCCTTTATGCATGAATACACTTCATCATCTCTGAACTATTTAATATTATTAAACACCGAAACGGGAAACATTTTAGAGCCATTCAAATTGTCTGTATGACTTTCTCCAGTTTTTGTCTTCAGATATATTTGTACTGTCTGTTTGCCATTTAGTTTGGTGGATCCACAATTGGGCTTTGGCATTTTTCAGACTTATGCAACTTTTTCAAAGTTTTTCAGAACATTTGGGGTTGTAAACAAAATGTTTCCAAAGTACTGAACTGATTCTTTGTACAAAACACTACAGGAGGAGAAGAAGACCAATCTTTGTGCACAATTTCACCAGTCATTTAAGATATCACGCCTGGAAGATTCTACTGCCAAATGATTTACGGTGTTTACACAAAGAAAGATCTAATCATGTGCAAATGCATTTTGAAACTATCCTGTTGCTTCATGTCAGAGAAAAAGACAATTTGTCTGGCATGAATTTTAGAGAAAGAAAAGTCTATGTTTTTTGGGGGGGTTGGGGTTTTACATTTCTTGGAACAACATAATCTGCAGCAGGAAGTGCATGCAACAGCAGAGCACGGGAAAATCAGAGTCGGATCTACACTATCAATCATGAGGGTTTGCAGAATGAACAAAGGATGTTCACCCTGGAGGAAGCTGTGTCTACAGTCTTGTTTATCTGCCATGCAGGGAGGCTCATCAGGTATGAGTCTGATTCCTCAGATAAGCTGTTGCTGAAGCAGAATGGGGAGCAGAGCGGAAAAACAAAACGCAGCTGAAACATGGTGGGTGGTAGAGTTCCTTTCAAAAGTATCACCTTTCTTTGACCCTCTTATTGACAGAATGTGGTCAAGCAAAGGTGACATGTGGAAGTAGACGCTTTAGTGTTTGTTACTTGAATAGTTTGAGAAGAAAAAGCGTCTCTACCTCACCTGAAACAACCAGAAAGAAACTTCAAGAGGCTCTGCTCAGAAAAAGAACCAAGTCATGTGTTTTTAATTTACACTTAAGATAAGTCTTATCTTAAGAAAATATGTCAGTAGTGTTTCAATTAGATATTTTTGTGCAATATATGGCTTAAAGTTTTAAAGTTAGTCATTAAATTTATTGTGAGAAGAGTACATAAGGGACCATCTGTTCTTTTTCTGTACAGAGCTTGTTGAAGTTTTTTTTATTTTTATTTTAAAAAGAGGTATCACTAGTTTCATGCCACCAGACCAAAGCAGAACTACTCCAGAGAGCTCAGGACGGCAGAAAGAGAAGAAAGACAATGCCAGCAACTGAAAGCGGAACAGAGACGCTTCTGTGGAACAGAGACGCTTTGCAAAAAAAGAAAATAAAAAACAAGCACAAGCAAAAGAAAAGAGAAGAAAGAGAGAAGGATTCAGAAATTAAAGCACAAAAACATGCAGCACTCTGACTAACTAAAGCAAACAAAGTGTGGAAGCTGCAAAAACTACTCAGACACAGGAAGTCACTTTAGAGCAGAATGACAAACATGGAGACGTTTCAGACACAGCAGATTTCAAACAGTAAACATTTAAGAAACGAGCGACAATAACCAACAATAAATATATCCAAGTAATTTGGAGCTTTGGAAAAATTAAATGAACCCTTAATTTTTTAATACTGAATTGTAAATAAATGCTCAGAATTGATACGGCAAGCGGTCAAATAATCTATTAGGATTGTGATTTTAAAACTGTGTGGTTTCTCTGCAACACGCCGACAGCTGTTAAATAATTATTAATAAAGGTATGTTTCTTGAGAGAATTACAGAATGAACAATACATTTTAACTAGTGACCCAAATTTAATTTAAAAAAAATAACATTATGAAAGCTGTTTGCTTCTGTTTCCTTTAATCATGTTATGTTATATTTGTTACCCCCCATTCAATGAATGTCATTTTTGTTCCTAACAAAAACTCTGTCTAGTTCAAATTTCTTTCAGCCTGCATTTCACACATTGGCGTGAATTCAAATGACTGGGTCTCAGAAAAGCGTTTTCCTGAGTGTAACGACCACTGACCGCCTGCAGGAGGCACTACTTGATCCAGCAGCTTCATGCTGGTCCTCTTCCAGATCTTCTTGATTACGGCTCTCAGCTCCTCGTTGGCTTGCTCCAAGTTACCTTCAAAGATAGTGAAAATGTTAGAGTGGTAATAATGAGTTCAAGTTAAGATCAGCATCTGATGATGGACTCTAAGCTATTGAATTGGGTGGAATTGAACTCCCTCTGGTGGCATAACATGGATCATGCATCTTTCTACATGAACATCATCACGACAGTTTTCATATTAGTTGTTATTATTCTGCCATGCAGCAATAATCAATGAGAAAATAAAACAGTAAAAATAATTTTGTAGGATTTCGACAACCTGAGCTTGTAGACTCACCCTCAGTCTTTATCTTAAGGGCGGTGCGGACTAAAGCAAACAAGGTGGCGTTAAACATGACGGTCCCGTCACTGTTGAGCGGCATGTTCATTGCCACCAGACGCTGCAGCAGAATTCAAACTTCATATTAATTTAGACGCATCAGTGTAATGGGAGGAGGTTTTTTTTCTGTGAATATGAGGTTGTGAGTTGTATAAACCCACCTTACAGGCGACTCTGTGAGGACAGAGCTTGCCAAAGCCCAACGGAGGCTGGATCCTCCTCAACAAGGTGACCACGTCAAGATGTTTAATCCTACCCCTGGGGACACATTAGGTGAAAAGAAAAGGAATGAACAGGTTTCAAGAATTAAAAAAAAAAAACATTAAGGAACAAATTTTAATCAAAATGTTGGGGTGGGGGTTTTGCCCTTACTTGGCTTCAGGATCATATTCAGACCATATCCTTTTAAATTCATCCAGATGGTGAGGGCCAAGAATGGACCAATCACGAGTCAGATAATCAAAGTTATCCATAATGACCGCAACAAAGAGGTTGATAATCTGAAACAAGAACATCCAGTATTTTTTAACCTTTTCATTGATTGCTTTGCTGTGAAATCTGGTTGACTGCTAGGTCTGTGGTAAACACGAGGGGCAATGGAAGTGGCGAGACAACCAGAGGGGTACCAGAAAGGCGCAGAGCATGTAGAAACTGATGAAGTAGATTATAGCAAAGTTGCTGCCGCAGGTTCTCTCCTCTCCCGGGTTGTAGTCGGACTCTGAGTCGCACAGCTTCCCCGGCAGACAGGCCAGCATGATCTCCTGCCACGCCTCCCCTGTTGCACATCTGACACGGAATAAGAAAAGTGACTGAGACAGCCGCGACACATTTAATCTGTATTGATAATGATTGTGCCAACTAAAGTTGCAAAACCTGAACAGCATGAGGACGGCTTGGGGAAAGGTTTGAAAGTTGTTGTTGCGGTTGATTTGGGTTCCGTCCACCATTGCTATTTTTCCAAACACCTAAAAACAGAATCTGCTAAAGTAAGATTCAAAAGCTACAGAAACAGATATAATCTTATTAAAAAGTAGGGTTTTTGGAACTGGCCATGCAAGGAAGGAGAAAGTTTTTCCAAGCATCTGTTTACACATCAGACAAGATTACCTGCATCCCGATGACAGCATAGATGAAGAACAGCATGGCTATCAGGAGGGCAACATATGGAAGAGCCTATTGTGGAATGAAAAAATTTAAAAGTATTATTGTTTTCTGCAACGTATATCGAAGTTGTTAAAGTTTTTGGCTAAGCAAACAGACAAAATACTATGGAGTGACAAATTTAGACACAAATTGCAGAGATATTTTGCATGGCTGGACACTTGATACCAGATTTGTAGCAATAAGTGTTCATGCTAATCTTGGTAGCTATGTTTGACTTTTACAAGATCCTAGTGGTGTTTCAGAAAATACCTTCTTTTAATTATTTGTATAACCTAGGGAAAATTATTAACTTCCTTTTGCATTCACCTGAGGACAGGTGTAATTTCAGTCTACTGGAGCTGAGGGAGGGTTTAGATAAGAATGCAGCGCTCCTCCATTTTCAATGTGTTGAAGTTCTTTGTCAAAGTTTTAACGCTGAGCCAGAAACAATGATTTCCAGACTCCATGTGAGAAACTCTGTGACAGCCCAACTCTGTCCAGTTAGCACAGAGCAGACTAAGCCCCTGATTGCGAGACTTCAAATACTTTTTCCCAACTCTGCATGCTCTAAGACTTCACCTGGAAAGACTTGATGAAGGTCCACAGCAGAGTCCTGATTCCTTCCCCTCTGCTCAGGAGTTTGACCAGTCGCATCACCCTGAACAGGCGGAAGAAGGTGATGGAGATGCGAGCGCTGTCCTCTGTGTTCTGGTTGTGAAGAGTAAACCAACCAATAAGAAAACGATACATGCTTGTTCCGCAGTATTCGCGGCTTCGCATTACTCATTCATTCATGCAGTCAGTGATACATGCACCCATTCAATATGCATGAATGAACCAAAAATGAGCAAAAACCAACAAGGAGGTGGATCCAAAAGCTGTTAAGTGTTATTATTGTCCTGCTTTATGACAACAACCAACCTGCATGCAGTCTTACTGAGAGTTACACCGCATAGCATTAACACACCTGGATGACTTGCACACAATGGCTGATTAAAACAGACAGAATATCCCAGAAATACAGGCTAAACAAACCATGACTTAAAACTAAAACATGAGGATTAGCCTGGCTTTGAACTAAACAAACATATCACACTTAAACAGAAATGGTTGGCGACCTGTCTTTAAGGACTTGAGTCAAACATTTTCAATGTATAACAAAAACCATCTCCGTGTTATCCTGTGTGCCATCATGCCATGCGCCGGACAAGATGAGATGCAGGGTCGAAGTGGAACTTATGCCAAAATGCAACAAACCAGAAAGAGCCATAACAAGACTGTCACAGTGAGGAATACCGACAATTCATACACAAACTTAACTTGCAACCATTTCTATAATTCATAAAAGCATCTTATTGATTTTCAAACAATCTCTCGACAAAAACTGTCACAACAGAACGATGTGGATGCTTTTGCTTTCAGATGACAACAGAGGGATGATGTTCTTGACAAAGAGTGGGGCTTATTCTTACCCCTGGATCCTCTATCACCTTCACAACAGGAATGGCTGCCGACTTGAAACCAGAAGTCTAACGTTAATCCCAGTTGCAGCTGCACAGCTTCAAACCATTTTTACACTACTTTTGTTTTCTACAACATGTTTTCACATTCATGACAGGCAGAAAACATTTACAATTTATCTGAGAGAACTTCGTCAGCAAAGTAAAGCTTCTTATGCAAAAGCTTTGACACATCCAGAGGAACACCAAATGTGTAAAAATGCCTTTTATTCCCCTTAAACCTTATCACACTTTGTGATTATGCGCTTAATTATACTTCACTGGAATCTTGACCAACACAAAGTAATGCTGAGGTGAAAGAAAAATAATATCATTATTGTTTGTTTGTTTTTACAAATTATGTATTATTTATCTGTATGTAGGCGACACAACAAGAGTGTGGAAGAATTTGTTCTGTTAAGATTAAACTAAAATGTAACTTAAGACTTAAACTGCACATCATCCCCATGGCGAAGCATGACAGTGTTAGCATCATGATGTTGGGATGCTTTTCTTCAGGATGCAGGTCAGAATTGGTAAGAGGACGGATGGAGCTATTTTCCTTTCAATTAATAATTATACGCCACCTGCAGTTTATCGTTTCAGATTCTATTAAAATCCTATTGAAAAGTCTGAGGTTGTAATGTGACAAAAGGTGAAAACGTTAATGAGGTGTCAGCAACCTTTACAAGGCAGCGGATTACAGAAAACACATGCATATCACAAACTTATGAGTAAAAACATTTCATGAGGTGAAAAACGTAAAACAAGACCCAAATTATGTCCCGGCTTTTGGTCAATAACTAACTATGTGTCATGAAATGCAGGCATGCTCTCGTGAAACATTCACAATTCTTTCTGTAGAATTTATTTTTCTACACTAAAAATTGTGTAAAAATTGTCTGCAGTGTGTTTATTCCCCCCGACCACTCACTCAGGATGAACCAACATTTAGCTGCGAACAAGCTGGAAAGAAGCTGGAAAGAAGCATGAAACCAGCGCTAACATGAGTCACAAACCAGGACATGGAGCGACCTTGCAGCAGCAGCAGCAGCAGCAGCAGCGCTGAACATTGTTGCTTTTTGAAGGGAATGCAAACATAAATGCTGATAGCAAGTAAGACAGTTGAGTGCAGCTGCATTCAAAGACAATTGTTCAAAAGAACAACAACATGGAGTTTGAACAGATGCGTCAACGACTTATCATCGCCTCTCTTTTTTTAAAACAAACAACTGGATGGATATCTATGCGTATGTGTGTAAAATCTGCTGCTAACGTTGTGAAAATCCAATAAAAACAAGAAGAAGGTTGTGTTCTTGGATGCATCTTTGATGCTAAAACAAGGCGCTCCTGCAGGGAACGACACGGTAAAGACGTGTGAGAGATGATTACTTACATTGATCTCAGTGATGGCAATGTCAACCACGCTACCCACAACAATTAAGGCATCAAAACGTGTTCCATGCATCAGCAAAATAGTTCTGCAAGCACAAGCAACAGAGACACACAGAAAAGAGGATAGACAGAGACAAAAAAAGCAGGTAGGAAGAAAAGGTAAGAAAGGAGAGACGTTTGACAGATAGAAAGTACATCAAAAAGTTGAGCTTCAGTAAGACAGGATGACAGTCAGAGTCGTCCTGTCAGAGTTTGTGGGAGCACATGCCTTTAAAGTTCAGCAGTAGTTCTCCAATTATTGTCATAAATCCTTTTTTTGTCTGTTTATATGACTGCTGAAGCTAAAAGAACAAAACGAGAATAAAGCAAAAACATTTTGGTTTCATAAGTATGATTTCCGTCACTGTAATTGCAGCTTTTTACAGTGACCGACAATCACTGTCGGGAACACACTGAATTTTCACATGCGGTTAAAGATTGACACACAAAAAGCCTTTATGTTTACATACTGGCCCACACAAAGATAGGACAGGAAGGAAAGGACAGGAAAAAGGAGACAGGTTTAGGAAGGATTCAAAGAAAAGCAGTAACATCTGAAGGAGCAGGAAGAGGGACTGACAGAGCTGCACATGACGTCTTTCTACCTGGCTGAGTATGATGTCGACTACACTGCCGATCACCACTAGAGCATCGAAGACATTCCAGGCGTCCCCGACATAGCCCTGAATACGGTGACGTACACAACCAGCAGGGCGGGGCAGAGGCAGGGCACAAGGGGAGGGAGCATAAGGTACGAGGAAAAGGCAAAGTGAGGGCTGAACATCAATCTATGGGGGTGGGGTATAAAACGTTTTCTAACAGGAGGAAGCAGAGGGGACAAGATGAGACACTTACTCTGGGTTTGAAGGCAATGAGCTTTAGGATCATCTCCACTGTGAAGACTCCTGTGAAGACCATGTTGAGGATGTCCATGGCGTAGTTAAACAGAAGAGACTGGCCATGGTGCTGAGGGGACACAAGCTGACCATTAGAGGCATTTATATGACACTGTTACAGCCACAAGCCGATCAATGCAAACGCAAGCGCTGAATTTTTAAGAAAGTTTTTCTTTTTATAAATTTTACAAAATGTAGAATGTTTTTTATTTTTCGGCCTAAAACAGAAAAGTATATTCTTCTGTTGAAACGCCTTAGTGAAAGTCCAGATCTTGTTTTTGTCTCAAGATATAGAAAGCTGCTGGAAGAGACATAATCCAAAAGACTTGCAGCTTTGATTACAGCAAGAAGTGGTTCTAGAAAATGGAACTCATGCATGATGAATACAAATGCATTTATATGGAGATTAAACTTCTAAAGTCAGCACTGGATTTTTATTCATGAGAATCACAATAATCAGGGCAGAAGCATATGCTTTGTGCAAATCATGCAACTTTTCCTTTTTTGGTTCATAATGTGTCACTTTGTGGTCACAATAAAACCCCAACAAACAGTACTTCTCATGGAGGCAATGTGACAAAATGTGAAGAAGTTCAATATAAATTCAAGTGTTTTAAATTAGGGTGATAAATCCTGCCAGGAGAACTTACCTGAATAGCCAGACACAGCGTGTTGAGAATGATCAGGACAAAACATGACGTACTCAAAGCCAGTGGAGTTGACCACATACCAGAACTTGTACTGGTAGGGATTTTTGGGAATGTAGCGGCGCAGAGGACGAGCTTTCAGTGCGTACTCCACACACTGGCGCTGTAGCGGTGTTGAGGGTGTTGCAAAGGAACAGAGAGACAAACAGGCTCCTGAGCGAAAACTAGACTACGGATTCCTGAGGCCGATTGTTCAGCAGCCACCGACCTGGTTCTTGTCCAGTCGCAGTTCTTGTACTCCTTCTCTCCCTGTTCCTGGAAGGTAACGATGACGAAACCAACGAAGATGTTCATCATGAAGAAGGCGATGATGATGATGTAGATGATGAAGAAGATGGAGATCTCGATGCGGTAGTTGTAGATGGGGCCCAAGTTCTCCCTGTTGGAGTCGATGGCCTTGTACAGCAGACTGTGGGGACAAACGCGATCCAGTTACAACACAGAGCGTAACCTGCTTTAATCACATAAAATCTTCAGCAACAACTAGATAAATACATGCATTCACAGACACCATCAGCCGTAAATATCCCTTTGCTCAGGTTTTTGAACTGACAGTGGACCAATACTCACGTGGGCCAACCCTCAAAGGTGGAGACAGTGAACAGGGCCATCATGGCCATGAGGACGTTGTCAAAGTTGAAGTCGCTGTTGTACCAGATCCTCTCCCTCACCATGGGCAGAGCCGTGTCCGTTGTTGTAAAGAATGTATGTCCCCCTATTTTAAAAAAACATCTTTAGACACTTAATGTACAAGCACAACACTGTCCGAATCTTTCAAACTTCTTCTTGTTTTTCATTATTTGCTTCCAGGCAGCAAGATATTCTCACAATAGTTTACAATGGCTTTGATAGTTTTTAAGCTTTCTGAAGGTCTTTCGTCAAACTTGTTTCAACTTTTGGCAGCTTGTCTATTCATTTCCTGTATTTGCCTTTGAGCTGAATGTCACCACATGTCCAAGGTCTGCATAGACAAGTGTGAGGGTAGATAAACAGAGGACAAGTACAATAAAAAAAAGGAAAAAGGAAAGTTTAAAAACAACTACAGCACTGAAACGATGTTATCTTCAAAACATAATAATTTTCAAATAAAATTTTAGCAAAGACCTGAACGATTCATCAGCCCAGCTGATAATATGATACAATTTTCTGTTGTTCAGGAACACTGACGCTTAAATGATACAGCTTGTATTATTTAAGGACTTTACAATAAGACATTTAAAGGTCCAATTTAAAATCGGCTCTTTGCCAAGTTCCCTTGACAATGGACCAGGACAGACCTCGATTTTAGCTTCTTCTTTTTTCCCTTTTTTTTAAACAATTTTCAAACAAAACATATTTAGACTGTCTCTAATAAAATACTAAATTATTATGCTAACAATTAGGCAGGAAAAAAGCCAAAGGCAAAATCATATCTTGCTCCTTGGAAGCAAAAATGAAGTCAGAAGCTGTGACCCAGAAAGAGATGAGAAGAACTAACTTGCACTCATCTGGGCTGGACTTTGCATCATCTGTGCACCGGTAGAATTTACCCTAAAAATGACAAGGTGAGACAACAGGGTCTTACTTAAAATAACATTATGGCACAGATTTCATGCCTGGTTTTGTGCTCTTGTACCTTGAAGAGCTGCACTCCGATGCAAGCAAACATGAACTGCAGGAGGGTGGTGACAATCATGATGTTGCCGATGGTTCTGATGGCCACAAATACACACTGCACCACGTGCTGCAGAGGAACCAAGTTATGAACTGTCAGTTCAAATACACAGCTGCACCAGAAACAGAGCCACAGGCAATCACAAGAACACAGGGAGAACCAGACACACTCATGGGGAGAAACACACAGGCGTCAGGCCTCACTGAGTGTCTGTTTTTACTTTCAGTCCTTTGGCTCTGTTGATGGCCCTGAGCGGACGGAGGACCCGCAAAACACGGAGGATCTTCACCACTGAGATCGCAGAAGACCTGCAGGGGGCGGTACAAACAATACAAGTTGAGATCTTCTGAAAACCTACTCTGCAAATCAAGTGACCTTGTCATAATCTATTCTGATTTTCAGGACCAACAGGAGAGAAGACACGTTCGTGTTCAACTTCAAGAAATATCTACCAGGCAAAAATGTGATTTTCACCAAGAAAGACAAATCATTTATGCAGCGAGATGGGAGGATACATACTGAATGCCAAAGGAGACGAGAGACACGCCGACGACCAGCAGGTCTAATAGGTTGAAATAGTTCCTGCAGAATGCTCCTTTATGCAGGAACGCTCCAAATGCCGTCATCTGAACAAAGACGAGAGAAATATTACACCAAAATTTACACACAGAGACACAAACACAAAGCAGAGAAAACAACAGCTTGACCTGGGCTAATTTTTAAACTTAAGAAACAGTAGATTTTGTTTTTTTATTATTCTTACATATTTTATATGCGGTTGGATAAAGCTGTGTTATGTAACTTTTATAAATAATAAGTTTTTTACATATTTCTTGACACTGTTACTATGTATTGACAGTATGGTTTGAGACAGATAATTCAGCTCCCTTTGCTCCCAGTGCAAACTAAAAATGACCAATCAGAGCCGGGAAGCAGGTCTTAGCGCTGTCAATCACTGTGCTGTGTGGTGCTACTCATCCTCCCTTTCCTCCGGTTACATAATCTTATTTTTCAAGCACATTCAGTATATTCCACAATTCTTTTGTTAGGTTTATTCAAAACTGAATGTGAAACTGAGTAAGTGATACCACTCATGGTATTTAGTATAATCTGAATGAATGTATTGTTGATTTTTACAAATTTATAATCAATCCTGGACCAATTGCAGCAATATAGCAATATATTTATATAGCAAGTTTATAAAAAGTTATGGTTTTGAAACCAGTACTGCAATCTAATTGTTTTTTAGGGAAAGTTTTAACAAGAAGCCAACTAAAGTTCAAAAGCTTTGTTGAAGCATAGAGTGAACACAGCACAGTGTTGTTGCAACCCCTGTATTATCTGTTATGTCATTGTTTTTGTAGCAGCATTTTTTCCCATAAAGTAGTCAAGTCATGCTGTACTTTTTTCACACTTTTGTGTAAATACTGTGAAGCCTAGAAATTTCTGAACAAGTTTAACATACAGTGAAAATGTCATTCTGGTCCATGCTTTATCCACTTTGCTAAACAAATGCATTTAAATTGAAAACATACAGATATGCATGCATGTGCAGTTCTGCACACACACACAGTGACAGACACATGTGAGCTACAAACAATGCAAAATATTGACACATGACAAGGAGAGCAGATTAATCCTAACAATGCAACACACATATCTTGGTATGGGCGATTAATCTACAGCCTTTGCAAAGGAGAGTTACCTGACATGCAGCGAGAAACGAGACAGGGGAAGAACTGAACAGTGACTGTGATTACCGTCGATTATTTCTGAATGTTGAATCATTATTTTTATTATCTGGGAAAAAAGCTAGAAAAAGAAAAAAAAACACTGACTAATATTTAATCAGGCGTTAAAGCAAGTCAGTGCTTCGTCACAAAAAGTTTTTTTTTTTAAATAGAAAAATGTGAAACTACTATAATTTCTATTTTTTGTTAGTTTTTTTTTTTTTTAACGTAAAAACTCTGTGATAATTATGGACAACACTGTGGCTAGAGATGGTTAGAAAACGTTGTCCATGAAGCAAAACGTGTTTTTGACAGACAAGGAGAGTAAAAAAAAAAACGACGTAAAACACAAAATTTCCGTATTGTAGTGTTGGGACAACACAACGAGCAGGCGGCCATTACTTTCCTAACATTAAAAATAAAAAAACGACGAGAGGAAGGACATTTGCAGCAAGCTGAGAGGTGATGTTGAGGCGCCACGACAGTCGCCGTTGTTTACCTTAATAATGATCTCAAATGTAAACATACTAGTGAAGACATAGTCTGCATAGCCTAGGATCTGAGAAGGCAATCAGAGTGACATAAGCACGCAGGGTTACTGAAGCTCTACCCAACACAGCACAGCACAGCACACACAGGACATTTACCTTCAACAGGATCTCAACAGTAAAGATTGCGGTGAAAGCATAGTCAAAATAACCAAGTATCTGCAAAAAGCAATGCACAAGTTCAAGTCATTGCAGGTGAACACATAAAGTGGTCTATTAAACACTTGTTGCTGCAAGATAATGTTGTTCAGACATACAAAACAGAAGCAAATCTCCAAATAGTGAAGCTGAACTGGGTAACATCTGAAGGTGGAAGCTGTTTTTATGATCAGTCACTTCAACAGTCATAGTGGAGAGGATGAAGTGTGGAGATAGAGGCTTGATTTTAGTTCCTGTCTGGAATCACTGCTGGGAGGAAAGGTCTGTGCAGTGATTTCAGGAGAGACAGATTAACTTTCTCCAATGCACAGCACGAAAACCCCAATGTTATTTATGACGTGTTCCTGTCACAAACCACCAAATCTGAGACCTGACGTCTCCTCGGACCGTCCATCCTGGTGGAATCGGCTAATAATACCTGTCAGGTCCAATCACACCTCACAGGCTTCCCCATTCTGGCTTCCTCTCATTTTTAGGATCAAATTAAATTCTTATTTTTAAGGGTTTAAAAGCCACTATGTCTATCAAAGCTTTTACACTATACAACTATTTCGTTATAGTTACATTTTTCACCCCTTTTTAGAAAATAAAAAACATCTGCGATTTTGGGGTTTGTCAGGTTCCAATCAGAAACTTTGCATTATCCGTGCTGCATTAGCATGTGGTGATGATATTTACCACCTAGTTACTGCTGCTCTATTGCAATGAGATATCTTTTCATTCTGCATCAAATGTAATCAAGTGCAGAAAAAAGTCTACTCAATGAGTAACTTTGCCGGGCAAAGTGTGAATGCATGACTGTGGATATTTAACAGCTAACTAATGATTGTAGTCCTAGGATATTCTGATAATATTTAAAACTGATCATATTTTCCTGAAGGTTCCAGTTATCATTGGGATCATCCCACATTCAGGATCACCAAGTGCAACTTGCTGCGGTTCAGAGAAATACAAAAACCCATCATCACACCACTGGTTGAAATTCAGAAGTGACTTCCTTTAATAAGGAAGAAAGCATTTTGAGGGGAAAATGTATTATTAAATATTTAGACATAAAAGAGACGAGCAATCTGGCCATGTATGTTGTTTTGAGAATATATAACATACTTTTGCCTCTCAAATGAAACATTCATGTCAATGTAATGAACAACAGTCTAAAGACGAGGCTCAACCCGGCTGTGTTTCTCCTGGCGTGTGGTAAAGTCCTCTGTGGAAAAGACTCTTCATTAGCTACAGTTAGCATGTGAAGCTTCCCTCACACAGGTCGATGTGGCTTTACGTACAATGTTGCGAGCGGAGAAGTTGCGGATGGGGTCCTCGGCCGCCAGGGAAACGGAGCTGAGCATGATGAAGACCAGGATCAGGTTGGTGAAGATCTGATGGTTGATGAGCTTATGGCAGAGCACACGAAACCTGCAGAAACAGAGCAGACAGAAAATATCAGACTGCTACATTTTAGGTTTCCTTTTTCTCTGTTGCACCTAAAGATTTCAGATTTTTTTTGTTTTTTGAACAGAGAAAGTGCCTGTTCTGACTCCAACTCACGAGTTGGTGCTGCTGAAGATGAAAAACGCACTGCCCTCCGGGATGGGTGGCGTCTTCTCCTTCATGGTGAGTTCAGAGAGTCGCTGGATCCGGGGGCCCGGCGGGGCTTCAGGGAGGTTCCCATGATCATCATCTTCATCACCTGTACAACAGCAGCTCAGTATCATAATGATGTTTATTGCTTGCACCATAATAGAACTGCCTAAATAAAAAAATATAAACATGTTTAATCACAAAAGTAAATATTATTTATTTCTTTGCTATATTGATTGTATTTCTGACAAACTCTGTAAAAAGAAAAGAAAATCTGCATCTATTTCCCTTTATTTTTACATTTCCTGCTGCTTTTTTTTCTTAATTTAATTATGTTTTCCATTTTATGTGCATTATTTGTTTTTATTCATTTCATTTCATTTCCTCACAATTATTTCATTCTATGTTTTCTCAGTTTCTTCTTCCTTTATCTTATATTTCCTGGTGCATTTTGTCAAAAAGGTATAATATCAGTTACATGTTTAGGTGATACCAGTGGATAACTCCTTTGACAGTACATTAAAAACTATAAATTCAATTCTGCTTAAACTTGATTAAAGTGACATTTCAAAATGGTTCTTTCTGAAAAATAAAAAGGACAGAGATTTGTGGTTTAAACATTATTCCCATATATTGTTAAACTCAAACCAGCTAAGCCTCATCTGCTAAACAAGCTTCTTCACCTGGTGAGTCGACGGTGGTGTACGATTCTTTGTCCCCCTCTAGCAAGGCCTCCGTTGGCATCTAGAAGATGTTTAGCAAAAAAATTTTTTACAGATTACTTCATACAAAAAAGAAAAATATCTAACATTAACAGAGTAGTGCTGGGATTATCTAATTTATGTAAGAGAGCTCCAGCTAATTTGCTTTTTACCGTTGTTTTTCCGTCTTCTGTTATTTCAATCCTCTTCTTCTCTGTGTTTGAGTCCCTGTTGGCAATGAATAAAGTTTAAAACCTCCAATGTATTTTTTCTTTCTTTTTGCAGATGGATTTTTTTTTTTAAAACTGTCAAATGAAAGCTTGTTGAACCATACTTAGCACTATTCTTTCTCTTTTTGGCCTCTTCTTCCTCTTTCTGTGCCGTGTTGAGGCTCTCCGCGTCAGCCAGGTTATCAACAGCGATGGCCAAGAACACATTCAGCAGGATGTCTGATCGAGCGAGTTACAGAATAAACAAAAACACTTACCAACATTTTAAAAACGTCGACTAAAAATCTCCACAGGCTTCACGGAAATAGATCAGTTCAGTTAAATGAGCTGTTTTCAATTTGGTAAAGTTGTAATTTCATCTAAATGTCTGTGACCGAATATAAAAACACACTTAGATTTGTATTTGTAACGAATTCAACAATCATTCGTCACTTTCCTTCCACTTTACAGTTACTCTTTACTTTGTGTTGGTCTGTCACAGAAAGTCCTAATTTAAAACAATTTGTGTTCATGTTCAAACTCAAAAACCTTAGCGGGTGTAACTCGTGTTTCAAGGCACTCTCTCGGCGATGTGAGTGATTGTGTGATTGCATTGAGTAGGATACAGTTTCCACAGATGAAGAGGATGATGAAGTAAATGCAGACCACCATGCCAGAGGACGCCGGACCACCGTACGCCATGATGCCGTCATACATCACGGTGTTCCAGTCCTCGCCTGTCAGGATCTGGTGAAAAATATTAGGAGAATAACACCGAAGCACCTGATTCTGGTCGAACCGCATTAATCGCAGTAATTAATCCCAGATATTGAAAACGAATGTCAGACTGGAATATGATATGCTTGATATGTGATAAAACCCTCGGTTCGTCTCTGATTCTCGCAAACACAAACCTGAAACACGGTGAGGAGGGCCTGGGGAAAATTATCAAATGTGCTTCTTTTGGTCACCGTCTCATCAAAGTTGAATTTTCCCCCGAAGAGTTGCATGCCCAGCAGGGAGAAAATAATGATGAAGAGGAAGAGCAGCAGCAGCAGGGAGGCGATGGACTTCATGGAGTTGAGCAGAGAGGCCACCAGGTTACTCAGAGACGCCCAGTGACTGAAGAAGACAGAGACAGAATTTAACTCTCCTGCTTTCTTTTTCCCCTTTTTCCTTTCTCTATTACTTTTCTTATAGAGAGAAATAAATTTATATGCCATTTTGAGTTTTTTTATTTCTGCTTTTATTTGTGCAGCGGTCTTTAGCCTTCATGACATGAACAAATATTAGCGTGAAATATGCTTACCGCGTAACTTTGAAGATCCTGAGGAGCCGTACGCAGCGCAAAACCGAGATCCCCAGTGGAGACATGATGGCCAGCTCCACCAGGATGGTCTCCACGATTCCTCCACACACCACAAAACAATCAAAGCGGTTGAACAGCGACACGAAGTAGGCCTGGAGCCCCAAACTGTACATCTTCACAAGCATCTCCAGAGTGAACAAAGCCAAAAGAACCTTATTGGCCACTTCTGGAGCAGAAAGAGAGAAAAACAGAGGAATGCTTTTTGTAGAAATATAACGGCTGTAGTATATTGAATTTCAACTTGGTAAAAGTAAAGCAAACAGAATGTAAAAAGTAAAACAGACACCTTGTACTTCTGTTAGCCATTCGGGCTGGTTGTAGTGCTCTGACGCGATGGTGAGGGTGTTGAGGAACACCAGGATGATGACGAGCCAATAAAACGTCACGGATTTCACGGCCGCCCTGCACTTCCTGCGGCAGAAGCGGTTCCACCGTCGCCACTGCCGACTGACAGAGGATCAGTTTGAGATATTTTCTCCGTCAGCTTGGAAAATCTAAAGGGAAACGTTACGATCTACCCAACATGCAAAAGGATCATTTGTTGTTGAGGTCAAGGAATTATATCACGGCAAATACGAGAGGATCAAAACCGATCAGGAGCAGACGGCTGGATTTTTGGTCAACATGGATCAGTGTTGAATTGCTGGTGAGCCGTCAGGGAAAGAAACGCATGGATGATTACAGCAGGGGTCAGAATGATTCAAATACGTGACCAGAATTGATCATGCACGATGAGAAGGAGAGCACCATGCAGCACCACAGCATAGTACTAACCTGCACTTTGATTTAGTTATTTTCTGACTGGTGGAAATAGAAGACAAGACAGCACTGTAAATCTCTAAAGCATGAACTCGGTGGTGAAATCTTCAGCTTATGTCAACGTGATCTGATTTCCGACTGCGTTGGTGACCATTTTCCCTCTAAAGGGAAACTTCTGCGTCAGCCGTGAGCTGCTCGATGAAAAACCTTTTGCATAACTGATTTGTGGTGTGATGTGTCAAACTCACCACAGCGGTCCACAGCACAAAAATTTGTCCTCTTCTCCATTGTGGTTGTCTGTGGTCGCCGACTCTGTCTCACTCGTGGGCATGCTGGCTGCAGAGTCACACACACATGCAAATGTAAAAAAAAAAAAGAAAAAGAAAAAGAATTGCATGAAAAAGCTTACAAATTTTACATGACTTACAATTTTATTTCATCAGCATTTTTATTATTATTTTTTAATAAAGCGTTTTTCTTTTTGGCATTAATTTCTTTGTGGTTTAGCTGAGCAATAGGCTAATAAAAGATGTACGTTTTTTCAGATCCATGACTTTTCAGAAAACCAACATCAAATGAAACATTAGAAGCAAAAAAACTGAGAAGCACCAATTTCTTTTATGTTGCAAGTTTCTCTCTTGCATCTTCTCTGCAGTTTGCGTGTGGTATTGTGGTATCTCTGATGGCCGTAAATTATTTGAAAGAAAAGGGAGGAAAAAAGCTAAACTATCTGTGTGACGTCTTCACAAAGTTAACAGGGAGGACAAATGTATCTAGCCTAGAACAGAATATGCTGACTGTTATCAATTACTATAGATTATTATCAAATCAGATTAGCAGATTTTCAAAGCCAGATACTGTACATCAGTTTTCCACAAATTAGGCTGAGCTCTGATTCCCTGGAATTGCATTAGAGTAGAAAGGTTATTGTTTAACTTTTCTGCATGGAAAAAGTCATAACAAATGCATCAGGGTGAAATAAGCTCATTAGCTGTAATCCAAACATCTGAATGTCTAAATGCAATGTTGAAACGTAATGCTTTACTATAGTTCTATATTGTGATATATGGTCTCTGCACTGCAGTAAGTGTTGGTTTTAATAGACATGGGATCAAAACATTTATAAAATACTGAAAATGGAACGATTCATGCATGCAGAAAAAAACAACCTTACTGATGAATAATGAACATATTTGATAATGAATGATGGGCAACCTTTACACCAACACTTCTGATTCAATCCAAGTAAAATATAATTTGCTAAGTAAAATCTTGGGGCAACATTCCAAAGATACTTTTATACCCACATAGACAAATCTCATGCTAAATTTTGTTTTGTTTTGGACAAAATCACCACTAGGTGGCACATTTTCTCCTAGAAACCCTTTAAAACAGGGAAAATGCAGCTGAGATAAGGAAGTTCTGCATTTAATCCTCATTAGCCAGGACATAATTGGAGGAAACTGTTCTGTTTCAAATATTTATATTTGCAGTTACTTATAACTGCTGAACCTATTTAATTTATTTTTTTGCTTTTTTTGCTTAAAACATGTCCTTCTTACACTACAATATGACTTCAGCATTAAAGAAAATGATTATAGATAATAATACAGATGAGGATGGTGATGATAGGGACCATGCACAATAAAACAGCATCAAGAAACAAAGTGCACAAAGGATCCAGCAAACCAAGCCCATCAATGCAAAGACATTCTTCAGGACGAAGGTGAAATGTCCTCATGAACACGCACAGGGGACAGATGAAGTCTTCCTGATGCTCCCGCGCTCAGGTGCACACAAATACATTTACCCTGTGTCTCTGTGGACTGAGAGAACCAGCCAAACTTTCCTTTCTTCTTCTCAGTGAGGTCAGCCAGCGTGACCCCTTGGTGTTATCAACATGCAGTTCACATAGCCAGACAGCAGAGGAAGCAGTGAGTCAACACAAAGCAGAACAAGAGAGAAGAATGAACAGCTACAGGCAACTTCAGAACAAACTACTGATGCAGCTACAGTATCCAGAAAATCACTGATAAACTACAGAAAAAAATATTGATGATTTAAATCTGTCCATACTGTGGAGTATAATAAGAAAAAATAATGGCATTCCTTCACCAGTAATTGATTCAAGGGTTGTTATTTATGAAATGATTAGTTATCAAACAGTATTAGCTATAATGAAAATCAATAAACCTGACTAGTCAGATCTCTCCGCTCATGATTTCTGGACACAATAACCACATACGACATTCTAAAACTGAGGATGATTAGCTGTAAACAAAACTTAAGTGAGAACGTGAGAAGTAAACAGTTGTTAAAAATAAGAAAGATGTGGCAACATATGGGAGGAAGAGGAGAGGAAAAGAGGGAACATCTGATGTTAGTGGCATTCTACAGGCAGTATCTACAAGACAACAGGGGCGCCGCCAGGAATCTTGGGCCCCATGACAAACATAAATAAATAAATGGATAAATAAATAAATGAATAAATAAATAAATTGCGGTGGGCCCCTTTGGGCCTTAGAATTGTCAGAACTTTTTCCCCAATATATGGCGCCCCTGCAAGACACACACGCACACGGACACCCACACTGCAGGAATCAAGGAGAGAACGTTAGTGTGTTATCTCTGTAAACAACAACAACAACAACAACAACAACAACAACAGCAGCAGCAGCAGCAATGGTAAAAGCAGTGCAGATACTGGAGAACATGAACACTGACAGGTGCATGTGAACTGACTGCAAGGCGCGGCAGAGCCATCAGTGCACAGAAGATGAGATTTGTATGATTTCTTTGCAGAAAAAAAAAAAAGATGCACCATCTCAAGTTTATTATGTAACTGCATGATTACTGATTATATAAACAGGGCTCTTCCTTCATCTGTCTTTCAGATGTCCACAAAAAAAAAAAAAAAGCCATGGAAAAAATTAGAAACGTGAGATCATCCAAACTTAGACATATTTTTGAATCCTCCAATTCAAACTTAACATGCGTTTGTTGAGTGGTGAATTGATGGTGAAACTTCACAAGCATTCAGTGACTTTGAAAGACTGCAGAAGAAAATCATGCCACAGTCCTGGGCGGGTCCCTCTGCTGTACTACACGGCGCAAACAGCAATCAAAAAGATCCGGGTGACTCACGATTGCGCTTGCCCTCCTCGTCCCCCTCCTCCTCGTTCTCGGGGTCGATGTCCTCGGCTTGTGTGATCCAGTCCAGGTAGCCTTTAAGGTCCTCCTCCAGCTGCTGCTTCTCGCGCAGCTTCTGGAAGTCGCCGCGAGCTTTGGCCTTTTCACGCTCTTTGGAAAACTCTCTGCAAGGACCAAAAGAGACGACTCAATTGCCTGATTAAGATTAAGGAAGGTTTTCGGGTTTGTTTTCACTTTTTTAGTGGCAAGTAAAAATGTAAACGTACCCACTCAACACTCCCAGGACCAGGTTCAGAACAAAGAACGATCCAAAGATGACCAGACTGACAAAGTAGACCCACGGCAGCTCAAAGCCCATCGCATCATTCATCTGCATTGGAAAATGTTTAATCAATCTCTGCTCACTTATGAAAATATTTGCCTAAGTATTTACTTGAGATAAAAAAAAAAAATTATGTATAAATATTAAATACATGTAAGTAAAAATACTGATTTGTACAAAAATGAAGCAGTGATCAAAAATGTAATGGGACATCAAAGATTCTTTAAAAATTACGCAAAAGATAAATACAAAATATAAATAAAGCTATTTATATTATATTGAAGTAATAACATGTCACTCTAATACATTTTAGTAAAAATCCAACCTTTAGTTTGATTAATATTGGGAAAAAAAATGCATATCAGGAAATAATCAACAGTTATTTTTTTGTTATTTTACATTTTTGAAGAAAACTTACTGGCAACCCTAATGAGAAGAAATGCAGCTTTTTTTAAAATCAAAATGTACTTTTTCAAATTGATCAAAAAGATTAGGAACTTTTAATTAGTGATCTATGACTCTTTTCTCTCAGGCATAAACATGAGGTGAAATAAAATCTGATTTAATTTAGATATGCTTTGGTCTTCATAACTCAGTAAACTGCTTCAAGAACCCATCTGCTAACCATAAAGTCTTTACTTACAAAGCTATTGCTTTATTTTACACTACAAAATATGTATTTTTAATTCATGCAAGTTGTAGTTAAAAAAATGGTTTGTGATTTATATTTCTAAAAGAAAAATCAGAAAGTGGAATCAGCAGGTCAGAGCTTTACAAAGTATGGCACAGGAAATGATTTCTGATCAGTGCATCGTTGCTCCTCAATACACAGAAAATTGGCTTCTTTTCTGTTTTCTGTTTTTTATAGATGTGGATCAATTGGATTTCAGCTTCACTCACAAAGTGCCACATACCCGCCCACCAGGCACGAACTGCTAAAGTTGGCCAATTCAACTAGAACAGGTCGTATGGCACATGTAACATAAATGACCATCTATCCGTAAATCAATTCTTTATTGTTTTGGGTTTGTCAGACCTTCTTCTCTCCAGCAACACAACACCAACACTGAGATGAAATTGCCATGGCAACACAGCGTAAAATATGTGGAGAGGAAGAAAAAAGGACTTCAGGAAGACAGCAGAGGAAGAGAAAGAGGGAGAAGTTCATTATTTCACAGATGAGGGTCACCGTTGGTAAATGAGTGGGAGGACTGAGATAAAGCTCGTAAGTGTTTTGGCTAATTAAAAGCCCTTGCTGGTTTTTGCTAATGAGAAGCCAAGAGTTTTCAAGCTTTTTAAATCGATGACACTTGTTTATTCAAAGGAAAGCCACTGTCCAGGCTGCAGCTCTGAAAGGAATCCTTGTCATGTGTGACCCTTGTGATGCTGCTTAATGAGATTTTATATCGCAAAGGCTTCAGCTGCATGTCAGAACAAATATTGTGATCACGCTTGAAACAAAAAGTCAGAAATCGGTGGCAGATTCAGGCTTCTGGGTCATTTTTGTAGCATTTGATTACCCAGTAGAGAACGTCGGTCCAGCCTTCCATGGTGATACACTGGAAAACGGTGAGCATGGCAAACAGGAAGTTGTCAAAGTTGGTGATGCCGTTGTTGGGGCCTTGCCAGCCCTCTCTGCAAATGGTGCCGTTGACCAGGCAGCGGCGGCCGTGCCCTGAGACAGCGCACGGCGCGGGCTCCTCCTCTGCCAGAGCTCCTGGAGGCGAGAACACAAACACACCAAACGCTAAAGACAAGCCAAAACTGTTTTCATGTCACGACCTTTACAGCACATGATTGGAGTTTAACACAGAGAGAAATGCAATCAGCATAAAAAAACTCCAAATCTCAGCCATTTTTTTCATGTTCAGCTTACATTATTGCACATCTGCATGTGTCTTAATGATCAAAATGATTAAATTAGGATAAAATACAACTCGGTCCTCCAAAAGCAGAGATATTGTTCAATCTGAAAAGCCTGGTCAGTTAATATTTTCCTTTTTTAACAACTGATGCAATAACTTCATGAGAAATGTTTTCTGGTTCCACTCCCAGTGATATTAAATAGATCACACAGATGCCCAGATACTTATTTCGACTTTCCAACAGCAAGAATCTCTCCTACTCTGCTTTTATTTTTTTTACATTTACACTTATTTATCTTTAAACATGAGTACATTTCTTGAATGATTGTGCGATTTTGTAAGCGACATTAAGTCAAAGAGTGGGCTTGTTTACATAATAGCTAGATATTTGTCATTTAATCACAGGATTTAATCCACCGTCTGCTGCTGTGTCCTGTTCTCAGCTGCTTGTCACCATTCACATACAAGGTGCATTATTCCATTCATTCCCAGGGATTAAATCCTGTACCTGTGGTAATCTCAGATCCACAATATGTCTGTTTCGTGTGAAAGAAAGATAGAAGCTATGAAATAAAGACCAGCTTACCTGATTTTATGACGAAGCATGTGGCGTGCATCTTTCCGATGAAGAGCTCCAGGCCGATGATGGCGTAGATGATGATTACAAAGAGGACCAGCAGAGCAATGTGAAGGAGGGGAACCATGGCTTTAATTATGGAGTTTAAAACCACCTGTAGACCTGTAAACACACACATTAGTGTCAAAGTCAAAGCCTCAGCAAATCATAACTTTTATTGATTTTCTGATAATAAAAGTATGTCCTTCCTTGCATTTTTGACAATTGGACGCTGCCATTGTTGAAGTTCAGGCTACAGCCAGATCGCATTTTTAAAAATGATTAATCTCAGAAAAGTTTTGTAGCTCAAGTAGAATATAAGACGCACTACTGGGTAACTAATGATCATCCAAATACCAATTAGTGTATCAACAGCATCCCGTATGCAAAGCAGCTGTACAAACCTCAAAACTAACAACCTGTTAAATCCTTCTACTAGCTCTCACAATGACATGATGTACACAAAAGCCCGGATGTTGTTTTCTGTGCGTAATTAAACTGCACAGACGAACATAGACAAATATCAGACAAAAGCAGAGCTGAAAAACACATTTTCAGGCTAACTTTGTGTTTCCCAGCCGTCCTTTCTTGCCTCAGAGAGCCAAATGATCCGCTGCCATGGAAACTGAAATAATGCAAACAGATCAGTGCACGTGCAAATGTAAGGTCGTACGTTTTGGAAACAGAAGCAGGGAAGAAAGCACCATCTTCTCGAGTTCACGATAGGAACTGTAGAGATGCTATGTGTGCAAAATAACCTTTTTTAAAATACTGTGGAAATAAATACATTGTAGAGGTTTTGTATTTGCATTTTTTTTTATTTTGGTAAGTATGTCGTCTTGGCTACTACAATAATCTTCTTTATTAATCCACGTTTATTGGCTAAATTGTTTTATTGTTTGAGGTCAGCAGTGTGCTCCAGAAATGAAAAGTGTAACAAAGTCAGACTGACTAACCTCAGCAATATACTCATATAGATAACCAGCCTTCTAAAACCGGGTCACCGGTCCAGTTTATGATGCTTCAGTACTGTCCACCAGTTCCCAATATCTCACAACAACTACATCTTTATTAAAACACTCACTGACTGCAATTAACACTGACTGTTTGCTGTAATGTGTTAGCTAAGCAAACACAAGGAGGAGGTCATACACACACACCTGAAATCACTGATAGCAAATTAATGTTTTGTTGTTGTTTTTTTTCTGGAGACTAAATGTCACGTAAGATTAAACCTTCAAATGTTTTATGCTTAACTTTATCACAAACTTGACGTTTTTGTTGTCTTTAGATAAAGTTTCTCCCTCACTGACATGTAACTAGCTGATTTTTTATTTCCAATAATGATGAACGCTCCCTCATTATTGGTGTTGCTGAAGAAAATTAACCCTCTACAGAAAGATTATAACATGTCCTTTGATCCTGACCTGCTACTGCCTTTAACCAGAGGCCTGATTTTACGTCATGAGTGGACGGGGTGTTGTAGAGCCCAGGTGTGTAGCTTTATGGGTGTGTTGTGCTTAAAATGCAAAACAGGCCCTGGCTGTTTCTGAGATAATATCTCAAATCAGTCAATATGTTTCTAACACAAATATTTGCAAAACCAGAAATTTTGCCTCTGAAATTGAAGTTGGTTTGGTCATTGTCAAATGCTATCAGCGCTTAATGTTGACATCCTGTTGCATGAAACTCTTAATTTCCATCCATCCATTTCCCCTCCATCCCTCTAGAGGGGTCGGGAGGAGTGCTGGTGCTTTTCGCCAGTGAACGTTTCGGGCGAGAGGCGAAGTTCACCCTGGGCGGGTCGCCAGTCTGTTGCAGAGACTCTTAATTTGAAAGAAAAAGTACATCATTCTTGAGTCGCCCTGCTGTGTAGAGAGACGACTGAAGAAGATCTTATTCATCTTTAAACTCAGCCCATCTTGTTCTCATCAACCTACTACAATGCATCGTCTCGTTGGGTGAGCTGGATGGATCTATACATTGTTCAGCCTGGACTCAACACACTAATGGAAGTTCTGGACACTTTTGGTCCACTCACTCTTTAAGTCACTTTAGTCTTTGCAAGCAAACTACTTGAGCTATTTCTTTTATAACAATACTTTTTCATGCTGATGAATCTGATGAGCAACAGCACCTTTAGTTTTTAGTCTATCAGGTCAACCCAAACCACCCAGGTTACATCAGTCTGTTTACAAATCACAGTAATAAGTGTCTTAAACCAAGCTTATGAAAACGGCTTGTGTGAATATTTACACAGTTCAGTGAACATTAAGGGATGACTGAAGATTTCTGAATTAACTCACTGGGAACTCCAGAAACAAGGCGAAGAGGTCGAAGCACGCGAAAGGCTCTGAGGGCCTTCACGTCAAAGCCCCCTGGTTTGCCTCCAGTCTGCCCACCAGAGTCAGCGTCTTTGGTTATCATTTCCAGGACAACACTGAACAACCTGAGCATAAAGTTAAATTAAATTAAATAAAATAAGGGATGGAGAGGTGAAAAGGGTAAAATGGCTATGATAGAGAAGAACAGTGACACCAAAAAGAAGAACTGCAGCTAAATGATTAAAGAACATGTGTCGCAAATCATAAACATAGCTTGGGATCGTTTTTGTATTTTGTCTGTGAGCATGCACCTGTGTGAGGCACACTGTGAACATATATGGCCAGTTCATATGAGGTGTTTGATTGCTGTCAGACATTTTATTGTAATTTGAGAAAAACCTGTGAGGAGAAAAAAAACCCTTCTGGGTTTAAAGAAAACATTTTAAGTGTCGATCTAACAGGGCCATTGATCAGTTTATTTATCTGTTCTGTATGTCATTGCTTGTTCACCTTATTCATTCACAAATCAGCTGAATTTACACTTAAATCCCACATGGGCGAGGTGGTTTACCCACAACCACACACACAGCCTTCACTCTGTTCCAGGATGCATGTGTGTGGATCTGCATCTGTGCACGTTTACGTAACTGTACATGTGCACAACAATTGCTGCCATCTGGAATTTGTTGGAATCATAATGTACAAATAAACGTATAAAAAGTCCTTTGAAAACCACCTCTTGCTCCGGATCTCTTGGCGTGTGTTTCTACAGGCTTTGTATAACGAGACATGTTTGGCTTAAACTCAGGCTGATTGAATGGGGAGAATTTGAGCACCTGCATTGAATTTCAGGTTGGATGATTGGGGCTATAATTGTTTGTGTCATAGTTCAGTACGGAGTAATTTAGAGAGAATGTCTGTGTAAATGGCAGTGATCTTACCCCACAATGACGATGACAAAGTCCAACATGTTCCATCCGTTTCTGACGTAGGAGTTTTGGTGCATGACTAAGCCATAGGCAATAATCTTCAGAAATGTTTCTATTGTAAAAATGATCAGGAAGGCATATTCTACTGTTTCCTGCAGAGAGAGATAGAGAAAAGAAACGAGAACAGGAGAAACACAGGTTAGGGTACTTTCTGAACATCAGTGTTGTTTTCATTAACAATGACAACAACAAAATTATTTAGCTGACGACCCTTTTTTTCATGAGGATAACGCGGCAATGACAAAAAAACAACATGGCTCTATATGGTGACTAAAGCTTGACAAGAAGAAAATGTTTGTGCGTAATCTGTCAGACTTCAGGAAGAGAGGAAGCAAGAAAACAAGGGAAAGAAGAAGGAAAAACACAATAATTAAACAAAGTCACAGGGAATAAAGTCTAGAATAGAGCAAATATTTTCCAATCTTTTCCAAACCTAAAAATATGTAATCAAATTCAGACTCTTCCATGGATCTCAAAATTGCGTGGAAAGGTTTTACTGTCTTTACCTTCATTTTCTCATTGTCCTGTTTCTTACATCAGTGTTTTTTTTTTGGGGGGGGGGGGTATCTCTTTCCCAAACATTAACTGTATGTTTCAAACCAGAAATCATAAAGTTAGCAAGCTGGCAGGTAAAATGCACAAAAAGACAGATGCATTGTTGATCTGAAGGACACAAAGCCGACACAAAGAAGCACAGTTACAGCAAAGACACTGATGACTCCGGTGACACGCACACTAACTTCACACCCACTCTCACAGGCTGAGAGTCTTGCAATGGTTTGGAAACTCAAAGCTTCTATCAGAAAGGCATTGAGCCAACAACACAAACACATTCACAGAAGGACTGTAGCTGCATCGCAGAAAGTGTTTTTCAAGTTTCAAATGCATAACCATCAATTTCTGCAGTTTACCCGGATGTCACAGGTTCACGTTCCTCTTCTGATCTAGTAACTAATTCCTGTAATGAACATCAAGATAAAGAGCCACTTCCAGGCACTAGATGCAGCACTGGTCCTTTACTCAAAGTTGTAAAGAGCAGCATTTAAATGCTAAATGGGGAGATTATTGTCAAGAAGCTGATAAAGCATCAGTTGATGACAAGACTTTTTAATGGACATAGAGTATTCGTTTATTTTAACTGGGTAAATAGGGTTTGTTGATCTGTGTTTGCATTCAGTTGTCACTAAATGCAACTGAATCAGGGAAGACAGACTTAAGTCCAAAGGTATAAACAGAAAAAATCTTTTGATTGAAAAAATAAATAAATATAAGCATTTTGTTCTAAAATTAAGTAAAAGTTTTTCTGTTACGGATGTATCTATTCATGTATTAGATCTGAAAAGTATTCTGGCTTAACTAGCATTTTGTCACTTCAATTCATTGTGGCCTTTTTGTAATAAAAGTCTGTATATACTGTGTGAGAGATTTGTCCACATGTTCTTTTTATTATTATCATTATTTTCAAAGAAATAATAAAAACCAGCAAAATAATAATCTTCAAGAATGTGAAACATTTTTTCTGTAGTGACAGTCACAAAAAGAAATGTGCAAAACCATTAATTCATCCCTCTTTCAGTCTGGATCATTCAGAAGAGCAACTCAGTGGCTGTTTAATAATTAATTTCTTGTGGGTGACTGTGTGTTTGACTCCGAAACGTTTACTAGCATTAACTGAGCGCAGCGCCACTGCAGCGGCTGGGTGATGACCTGTGAAGAACAACATAATTCAGAGCTTTTTCACACTAAGAGCCTTTGCCGTCTGCCTCCATTCGGTTTAACATCCACTTGTTGTTTACAGAAGACTGAAATGTCCATTCTTCTGCTTCTTGAACAGCTGACGGTCAGTGCTTGTGTGTGTGTGTGTGTGTGTGTCTGTGCGTGTGTGTGTGTCTGTGCGTGTGTGTGTGTGTCTGTGTGTGTGTGTGTCTGTGCGTGTGTGTGTGTCTGTGCGTGTGCGTGTGTGTGTCTGTGCGTCTTGAATTTGTAAAGCTGTGGCGACAAATGTGACAATGCAGATTACTGGGTTGCATTATTGCAAAACTGTTTGGTTTGCATTTCATTTTTTGTTTCTCTCTGCTGATCTAGATCAAGTGATGATATATTTATTTGGGGGAGCGGGGAAATCCCACTTGGAGAAATTGATTTTTTTTTTCCATGGGATCATTTGTACCACTATCGCTGGCATCGTTGCCCATCAGATTTCGAATGACCCCCTTTCAGCAATAGAGCAGTATTTGTCATTTTAGCTTTTATTTTAAAAGTTATTTACTGTAATTACATGTAGATAAATAAAATCCATAGTGTAAGTCACACTTTTTTACCCTCAAACTTTACACTTCTAATTCTGTGACCCGTCTTTTCAGGGAACTGAACCATTTCGTTTCTAACTTCTCGGCTCAGGAATCTTCTGTGCTGAGGGATCATTAAATCCATGGCATGGATTTTATAGGTGTAGGCAGATACATGAGAGGTTTTTCCCCTCTTTGTGTGTTACAAACCTTATAATGACCTCATAATGGGATTAACATGCATGACATGATATGACATAATATCATTAAAACCTTTACTCCTCACAACGCCATGGGGACATCAGGATGAGAGAAGCGCAGGCCTGAAGCTCTTTGATGATGCGTTCATTTAAGTCGACGTGATGAATAAATGAACAGAGAGACAGATTAACGGAGCTCCCGCTTTCTGTGCGTTTCTGCGTCATGTGAGCTATGCATCGACAAACGAGCGATACCCACTGTTTTTGTTTCCTGTGTCCTGGATCAGAGACGATCGTTCCCTCTGAGGTTGTAGTAAAAATAACGTTGCCATGGAAATCAGGCTTGTCTTGTGAGTGGGCAGAGAAAGAGACTTGAAATAATCAAGTGAGAGAAACTCAAGACAACTGCCCTTAATACAGCAAACTCCTTCAATTAGACTCCAGAGCGTCTCTCTCATCTCTAGGTTTTATGAGTCTTTTGTGGACTCTGGTCTCATTCTGACTAGTTTTGGCAACTCTGATGAAAATGGTTGGTTTTCTGGCAGACACCTGACTTCTGCAAATTATCACCAAGACTTAAATATATTATGAACTGGAAGATGCTGAAACATCAGTGTGTGAAATGAAAGGAGCACCTGCTCCAATATTATCAACAACAAGTGAGATTTGCAGCTCCACCTGCTGATAAGCTGAATAGTTTCTGGAGCAAAGTTTGTAGTCAGGTGTGATGAAGACTCAGCTGTTTGGCCTCAATATGAATAAGTTTATGTGGAGGAGTCAAGGTGAGGCTCTTTAAACCTAGGATAGCTGTTCCTTCTGTCAAGCATGGTGGTGGCAGCATCATGCCTAGGGTTTTTTATTTTTCATCAGTAAGAAAACTACCTATATGTTCTTCAACTTCACCTCAAATCAGCAGCTAGACGACTGAACACTGCAACAGGACAGTGATCTCAAACATATCAGAAGATGTTTGGGAGAGACATGACCAAACTCTTCTGAAGTTATATAAACTATTTTGAATTAAACATATTATTTCTATTTATATTTAGATTCCCGCTGCAAATAGATGTCAGATTTTCAGATAGATTCATGCCAGATGCTTGCAAGAGGCGTGAGGTTTCTCTACACCTTATAAAGTGACATTTAATCAAATAAAAATGGAAAATCCACAATGATTTCAAACTTGTGCATCCAATTGTTGCCTTCAAAATAAATTAAAGTGGCTACAAAAAGCAAATGTACCCCAATGTTAAGATAACAGTTAAAATACAAAATTAGAGGACCCCAGGGAAATGACAGATCAATGCTCTACCTTTAAGCCTGGGGACCGCTGCCACAAAAAATATCACAAAATGATGCTGGAAGAATGTTTTTGTGTTATTTTGTTTCATTTAAAACGGTAGATTATGCTGATCTGTCCGTGTCATAAATTGTGGTTGAAGAACGGTGAGGATGGAAGCGGAGGACCCAGGTTGGTGCAAAACGATGATGGTTTTAATGATGAAATACAAAAATCCAGACAGCACAGGTGAGCAGAAGACTAGGAGCTCAGAACTGGAATAACTTAAAAAACAAGCACAGGGGAGTACAGCCTGACACCACAACGGTACTGACAAGGCCCCTACAAGGAGCAGGGGACGCAGGTGGGATTAAATACACAAGGGATAATCAGGGAACACGAGCAGGGAGCAATCAAGGGGCGAGCGGGGACAACACAGAGACTCAACTGAACACAGAAACCTAAATTAATACACAGAAAAAACAAAACATTTCAGTCTGCTCTGCAGTTTCTCAAGGACTCAGTTATTTTGAATAAGGCTCAGACACCAAAAAAGACACAGCTTGATTAATTTAAGGCAGAACAGTGTCTCCTGCGAGCTCAAAAATCCCCTGGTTTGGAGGTGGGACAAGTTTGTTAGGTTGACCGAGCTGAAGCTAAAATGAACTGGAGGTTTCTGGGCATAGAAAGGAAGTCAATTCTCAACGTTACGCAAGTTTTAATCATGATACCTGCCAATCCTCTCTATTGAGTTTGAATTTCAGTGTTGCTCCGTCCCAATACCAATTGATTTTGTTGTGTTTCAGAATATTTTTAAAGCTTGTGGACATATATCTCTCTCACAGAGCATACAGGCTAAAAAAAATTGCACCTGAAAGGCTCTTTTATAAAAAAAAAAAAATCCACACTGAATTGAACTGACAAGATGTGAAAATGCTATTCAAGACTTTTCCTCTTGATGTCATACCCACAAGTTCACAACACTTTTCAGACTTAACACATTGAGCTTTCAGCTTATTTGATATTTGTTGAGATTTTAAGTAAGAGTTTCCTAAATCCATCTTTAAAATGAATAACTTTCTAGGTAATAAACTGCCTACTGATAACTATTTCACAGAAAAAACACTTAAAATTTTCCAAAATATCCCTTGGAAATTATAACAGGGTCCTACACCAATGTTCAAACAATGAGCTTGGTTCATTATAGACCAAGTCACAGAGAAATATATTTTCTACAGATGATTGTCTGTTATTAGAGCCAAAAAACATTGATAAGATTTTCACTCTTCATTGTCCCTCAACACTAAGAGGAACAGTTTTCATCA